CAACTTGTTTTACATCTGACATTAAGCTTCACTCATGAATCATTGAGTAAACTGGAATAACAATAACGTCATTTTATCCGACTTGGGAATATTAACATATTTTGAGAACGTACGAGACAGACGTGCAGGTACTTGATAAGCCAAGGGCAAAATGTATGTACGTTACATTGTAAAAATGTGATATGTCACATTGTAAACTGATCGTTAAAAAGCGAGATTCAATACTACACATACGACATTTGACTCGTAGATTGGGTTAATTTGGCGCTACTTAATTCGGCGATTTTGCCATTTTTGGCATATTGGCGACTATTTATGCCAAAAATGGCAAAATTTGGCGGATATGCAAAAAAATATTTTAATTAACTTACGCGCTTTTTGCAAATTACCATGTAAATAGGCATGTTTGGCTATGTTTATTTTTTCTTTTGAGGACCACTGGCGATATTCACCACGTTTGCACTTTTTGCGTGATCATCCTTTACATTTTTCACCTCGATCGATGCTGCTACTATACTGCGCGTTTCCTTTCTAGTTTTTCCCTGAGTATTAATTAGCGACTGACCAGTTCTGAGCCAATTAATGAGAGACATTTTTTCATATTTTTGGAAAAAAACTAAACCGGAAATGACTTAAATACACTGGAGGAAAATACCCTAGATAATTCCCGGGGATTCATTCTAAATTTTGGCGAAGATTTTTATTGGCGAATTTTTCAATTTCGCCAAATTCGCCAAATTAAAGCGGGCGCCAAATTAACCCAATCTACAGTATATAGAATAGATTGCATTTGCCCTTTCAGTGTGTGATGGTGTTATTCTTCGTTTGGCTGACAGATCTCGGCCAATTGATCACCTACGCAAGCTTTGCATCACGACTAAATCATCTTTTAGCATTCGCCGCGTTTTTCTGGCTACGCTACAAGAAGCCACACTTCTATCGTCCAATTAGGGTAGGTACTTTCCATAGTAATGATTAATACGTGCATTTGCTTGGGGCATGCAAATTGTTATGTAACTGGAGCGATGATCTCAACGTCTTAGCAGTACTCACTTGGGGTAGGTAAGTTGAAAAAGGATTGATATCGATATGGTGAACTGAATTCAACAATGTTTTTCTTTTAATTAATAAACCAATTATTGAAAACATTCTGTAAAAAACACGGTCCTTTGTGTAATTGTGACTGATTGACAACAATTTAATGCGAAAATTAATTATATATATTTAAATATTAAGTGCTTTTGTCAACATTTTTCTTTTTTTATTTGGTGCAGTTGTTTTTTGTTCCTTTTTACCAATTCTTGAGAATGAAATAAAACATTTTGGAATAGAATAGCACATACTTCATTTTCTTAGACCTCTCAATATCATACTTATACTAAGGATATGTTGGTTGATTTAACAAAAAGTTAAAACAAAAAACAGATAACAATTAAGATAAACCTTTTATTCCATTAACAATATACCTTTTTAAATCAACCAAACTTTCCTTGTACAATTGCAATATTGAGAGACCTAAGCACATTGTGTTTATGTCATTTTGTTCAAATGAACATTGGATACCAAGAGCAAAATAAAAATCTGGTGTGTTTTCTAAAACAATATAGAGAAAAGTATATATATATTTAGTTCATATTATAGTGTTACATATAATACATATACCCTGCGAAGGAGTAAAATACAATGCAACGCGGGTCAATGAAAATCAAAGCGTTTCGTAACAATACAAGAAAATAATTATAAGAAAACAGAAATAAAACAGAGACATATGACAAAACGATGCAAATACTCAAACATCGCTTCTCTACAACTCTGCAATTCCAGGGTTCATACATTTCAAGTTCTAGATTTAAAATATAAATGAGCCTGACCATGGGAAAACCGGTCTTATCACAAAAATTTAAATTGTGCTACAGAGCCAAAAATGTGCTGAAGATTAAGAGGAAAATGTGCTAAATTCAAATCCGTCTTTTGGTCTATATCTGCAAGAAAAAATTGTTAAGACATAAGCCATGGCTCATTTGAAAGGTCTCTTTGTGCTTTTTAAGATAAATAAAAAATCAAAATATTGAAAAATATATGATAAGACCCCTTTTCCTGTGTCCTGGCTCAAATAATGGATTCGTTCCAGATCAACATAATTCTTGCTGTTCTCACAACTTTGATTTTACTGGGTCTGACTGGTTTAGCGGTATATGGAGATCCCATTCCAGCAATTAGTGGCCTTTGCGTGTTTTTCTCAGGGATACCATTTTACTTCTTCTGGCGGTTTATACGTAACAGAGACCTCGGGAGGTTCAGCCAAGCCCTGGGTGAGTACATGAATGGAACAGGACACTGAATGACATCACAATAACAATGTATCAAGCGACTCAACACTTGTCGAGCATTACACAGTTATGAATACTTACGTTAAACAATTTTAACTTATACGTATTTCGATAACACGATCGACCATAATTTAGATGATTATTTTAAAAGCATATATGGTAAATTTTCACAGCATTTTAAATCCGGAAACAAAAATTAGTCGGTGATGTAACACGATGTTTTGAATGTACTTCGACTGCATTGATGTATGTGTGTCATATAAACTACGAGCTACATGATATAGTATCCTGAACTACAGGGTGGGCCAAAAAACGCCACTTTTTCAAGACGCTATAACTTTTTTATTTTCCAACCTACATACCCCAAATTTTGCAGTTATATAGTGCCAAGGGTTCTTAGTAATAATATAATGTAACAAGTCCTTCAACTTGGATTATATTTGATCTAAAAGAGGAGTTCAATTGGTCCGCCATCCTATTTGATGATAGATTTTAGTTTTAGTCGCCTTGTTGATATAGCAGTATCAATGAAATGTTAGCTAAACAATTTTCAACATGTCTTAATTGCCATCTTTAGTTGAGGATTTCTTTAGATTGGGTGCCTTCATACCATCTCCTGGAGAACTCCCCATACCCTATACTCACTGGGGTTTGCATCAGGGCTATTAGCTTGGCGGTCATCAGGCCGTATCAGTTCAGGGACATTTTGCAAATTATGCTCGTTTCTCATTGCACACCACATGTTTAAGTGAGACGCTGGTGACATATTTTATTTAAGTAAAAGTGCATAATTCATAATTAATGGCTAGAGAACAACCTCAAGTTTCATTTGGTATGTAAATTATGATTTTGTATCAAAAATTAAAAAAGTAATAACATTTTGAAAAAAAGTGGCGTTTTTTTGGTCCACCCTGTATATGACCTTAAAATATTATATAATCGCCTGGAGGCTGCAGCCATATGAAATTATTAGATTATCTGTGTTGTCGATATACTTTTAGTCCATTTCTTGGACACCTCATATACGTATAAAGTATTACAATGTCCTTTGTGCATCTTACCTAGATTGATGGCACACATTTGTCAATTCAGACTTTGAACCTATGATATGACTTTCCTTTTATCAAACACGAAAGTCACATAGTGGCCATTAACTTTTTTCTAGTAGTGTAGTAAAACATGTTTGTCATGAACTAAATTTCATATAAGCAATCAAATAATTAACGATTATTAACTATCATGATTTCAGATAGTATCACAGTTTTTCTACAAATGTTTCTACAAGTTGTTCCCGAGGAAGTTATCGAAAAGGAAGTGAAATAGAAGGAAGAGGAATACCAGAAGAGAACAAAACATTTTAGACGATCACAAATCGTCAATAGTGTACTATTAGTAAACCATATATCCAAAGTTATCCATTGCACCAATGACATTCCTGTTGGTGGTCTTAGAGGTTATACTTTTCTCATTGTTTAGCTTTTCAAAGTAGTATTGTCTAATTAACATTATGGTAAATATAATATAACAAATCATTTATTTATCAGTCATGTCAAATGTCAATATATCATACTATATGGAAATGCTACAGCAACACATTTTTACGTTTTTGTTGAGCGCTTGTGTGGTGTTTTTGAGTGATGTGTTTCTTAGCAAACATGTACATGTATCAGATAAATGCAACCAAAATCAATGTAGATTTTGGATTACCACTATCCAATACAGAGATGAAAATAAAATAAAAATGAAAATAAATGAAGTTTCAAAATCAACCGAAGTAAACGTTTTTACATTATCTTTAACATAATGCTAGTATTTTGTCAACGGTAATACGTTTCATACGTACAATCTAAGTTCCTATTTTTCTAATGAATGCCTGTCCTATGTTTTTTTTCTATCTGTGCTGTTTTAAACATAAACCGTTTGTTTTTTAACCTTGTTGTACTTGTTAATTCAATATTTAAAGTGCCTGTGTTTTTTGGCACCTATTGTTTTATATGCATGTCTTGTCAGAAAAATACAAACTAGAGGGTCTTTAACATGTGCCTATTTTCTAATGAATCTCAGCACTCTTTTGTAGTACTTTTTATTTGCGTTGTCTAAAATAAACATGAAAATGTTTTACTTTTATCCTCGAGGCACTAGTTAACATTGAGGTTTAATTGTCTTAATTCAATGTTAATGCTTTGTTTTCTGAGCTCCTGAAGCTAAGCATAAATTATGCTATTTCGACAGACGTAAATTAACATTATGTAAATATTTCTTTGAGTATGTCTCATTTTTAAAGTGGGTAAAAAGCTGTATTTTTAGGTTTAAACCAGGATAGGATACGTTCACACTTGAGAGTTTTACATGCGTTTACTATCAATGCTCAATTCCTGTATTTCGTTTAAGTAGAAAAACTTTCTTAGTGCATCATTTTTTGTTCGTTTGATATATATAAAACCAACTGATTCAAATGCATCAAAAGACTTCGATAGTAACCTTATTTGGATGTGCATTCATTTATAATCAGTGACAAATACATTAATTGAAAGTTATTTCAAATCGTGTATGCCTAATGGAATTGGGAGAAATGAGTCCTTCTCGTAAATTATTTTTATTTTTGATATACATTAATTGGACCTAACATAATAGTATATTAATATAATTTATCCCAACTGTTTCGCTACACGCACATCAACATGCACACATATATGCATTCTATTCCATTGCATCGTAGCAGTAATAGGCGCAGCCATCATTTAAAAGATGTCACTCTATACACATTTTCAATCTCACTAATTCGTATGAACTGGAGTATGGGGAGTATTCCACATTTAGCGATCATTTGTCTGATAGCCTTGTGTGTTGCTAAGTCTTTCTCATGATGTTGTATCCCTCCTGCTTCCTATTCGTTTTTGGTTTCATTTTAGTACAGGTCGAACATCTATTTTTGTACCACCGCGAGAATCTAAATCACCATTCCTTCCACCATCGATGTTTGTTTCATCCTGGCTTACGTCACAAGTGATTGTATTGTTATCTGGAATAGGTACGTCACAAGTATTTGTATTATTATCTGGAATAGGGAGATAAAATCATTGTTAAAAAAGATAGTAATGACAAAATACAATCGTATGCATAATTTTCAGTAAAATATTTTTAATTTTGATCTATTTCTTATTTTTAAGAGAGGCCATTTTAATAACCCTATATTTTGAAAGTAGTATTCAACACACACAAGCCATTGCGTTGATTGCAACACAAGATGCGACGTATATCCTTTTCAAACATACCAAGTGTGGCTCAACCAATCAGCTAAGGGCATTTCAGGGCGTTAATTTCACCCTTGGTATACGCAGCTAACGAAAATTGACCGGTACGGGTCAAAAGCTGGACCGGTACGGGTTAACGGTTTTATTTGAATTTAAAACAGCCATAACTTGCTCAATATTGACTTCCTCGTGTCTAATTTGAAATATATGATGCCTCCCGATGCTTTTAAGTACCCCAATTTTTTACAGATTTTTAAACGGACCAAAACTCTCTAAATGCGCATTTATGCTCTTTTCTCTCGAGAACGATAACTTTTATTTAGTACTTCTAACATATAAGATTTATTTTTCCCCATCAAGGTATGATGTAAATGACATGCTATTTACATCTTGTGAGTTTCAATGACGCACGTTTGATTTTATAAAAAATGCCAAACTTTGTGACAAAGAATTTCATCAGCTATTGCCCCGAACCGGTCCGTCTTCTCGCTGCAAGCAGATTGCCCCGAACCGGTCCGTCTTCTCGATGCAAGCAGGATGAAATTCAATTTTCGTTAGCTGCGTATACCAAGGGTGAATTTATCGGTATTATTTTACTAATCATACCCACCTGAAGATTGTCGCTGTCCTCGATCTTTATATTTGTGACGTCTTAAGAATTGTTGAATCTTCTTTTTAAAGCAAACTTCATAGGGTACTATTAACAGTACTAAGACGAGGAATAGACCGGCTATGCCTATTAATACTGCTGCGAATTTTGTAATCAAATCCGCTACAATACAAGAGTAATTAAATGACAATAAAATAGAGGTATAATGACTGATTTATGTTGGCCAATGCTCGGCGAAATTAGAACTTATACGTTTTGGTATGTAATTGCAATTGTTTATGTAAGATTATACTTTAAATACACGGTGTATTTAAAAATGTGGTACTATTAAAACTCAATGGCACTAACCAAGACAGATGATACCGTAAGTTTGCTCGTGAGTATCATAGGTTAGAAAAATGGTTGCGTTTTTAGAGAAATCTGCAACAGCTTAATGCAGAGCATAACATGTGCACCATCGTGTTATGCGATCAGTTGCAAATACGTATGAAATTGTAAAATGGCAACAGATTCGGGTGATTCAACTTACTTAAACCAGAAAGCGGTGAATCGTTGTCTCTATCCTGATCCCCTAGTCCCCATCGTGTATCTGGTGTAGTTATGTTGTTAATTTCCTCGTTACTAGATGCAGCAACTGTGGAAATTGTTGATATTTCCATCATAGTCTCCCCAACATCATTGCAGAGTTCGACTTATTCATAACTTTGGTTCAATCATATAGTTTATTCAATAACACGATACAAATGACGCTCCTAGACTATCCTTGAGCGTTTTTATCAATTTGATGTCAAGCTAGAAATCAAGGAAATTCCACTATTCTAGGGAATAGCTGTACATTCATATTTTCATTGGCTCATTGGATTCAGTCAGTCTTTATACAATTGCTTGGTTTTGGGTGCTTTTCTCAGTTTGGGTACACATTGATTTCCTGAAGCCCTGATGGAAATTCAGATATTATTTATTTTGGAGAACAATTCTAAATAAAATGCATTCAGGGCGTCATGATCATATTTGTTCACACGTGGAATGTTTAGTTGCATTAACGTTCGGAGTGCTTAGTCTGGCAAATATAACATGATGATTTCCCTTGAGAATATGATTTAATCGCACGTTATACACCTTATAGCATTCACCTAAATATACACATTTGGTTTACTTAATTTGCCTAATAAAAGTTCGCATTTTTGTTTTGTTACACCAATAACTACATCCATTTTTTCATTCACTCGTGGTAATATGTAAGTGCTCAATTTATATTTTTTGATATGCTTTTTATTAGTGATCTACTTGCTACCCATATGATTAATCCGCGTTAAACATTCCAGATCAACTTGCGCAGCTGTGTCTCTTTTGATTTCACATGCTCTGTTTTTTTATATTGATTTCACACCTGAATTTATCAGTTTTTCTCCAATGAGCAAAGTGGTTTGTTTGATGTCATCCGATGTCCAGGCGTAAAATTATTCCACGTGGCATATCACGTGGTGCGTATTACTTCCCCGATATTGATAATGAATTATGTGACCTTTGACGTCATTTCTGTGGTCACATGTGGTTTGTTTCATCATCGATGTCTATCTCAAAACTGATGTCCTTTTTCTCAAATTGGGTCATGTCAGCTGAAATTAAATACTTATGTAGACACATTCGCCATATTTCAAACCAATGTTAATTATGTTAAACACCACTCTAAAAGCATTTAAACCAATCACTATCAACCATTCAATATATAACAAAGAGACTATATGCATCTCAAATAAGTGAATATTTATAAATACATCTGACCATATTTAGATTTAAGCTATCACGTGACCAATATATGTGAATACACACAACATTATGACCATATTTAGAAGACTATGAAGCATGGCCGATGAATCTGACTTATTTACCAGATGTGCATCAGTAGACAATTATTAGTGTTCTACTTACAGAGAAACACCATTCCCGGCTTAACCATTCCATTCTGCTCATCATAGAGTTTCTGAATGGCGGCATGTCGTGGTGGTTGTGGGTAACTAGGGTATGGTGTGTGTCTATTGATCTTTCCTGTGCTTGATGTTCTCCTGCAGTCTCGTATACAACAAACTATCAGCGTAAGGATCATAAATAAGAAGAAAGTTGATGTAACAGCTATTAGGGCAACTGTAATCGTATGCAAATTAGACCACTCTGAAAATACAAAAGCATGTGAACTGATGCAAAACAATCGTCTCACGTGAGAGGTAGCCGATTCTTATTGGAAGCCCAGGTGTCAGCTTATCAGAGACATATAATCTCTAAGCTAATGACATTACATTATGTAATGACAGTACATTATGTATCATTCTTAAACATGTATAACTTTTAATTATGATAATCTGTATGTATTAGTGTATTAGGGTTCAGTGCAAAAATGCACTGTGAACTATTTTAGGGAGGCCATGTGACTTCTTCCCCATTAACTGCATTAGGATAAAAAGTATAGCATCAAATAAATTGATATGACCAATTGATCATGCTTTAAAGGTGTGATAATATTTCGTAATTCAGCCATGTAAACACAATCACCATAAGGGTGACTTGAATACAAATCTAACCAATTGGCCAAAATCCCCGATAAAGGAAATAAAATTAAACCCAAAATATGCCTCACCTGATCTATCCTCATATAATAAACTATTTCCGGTCAATAACGTATTATTTTCCATAACTGCAATTGTAATATAATACAGTAAATGTTTTCATTTTAACTTAAGATTCAAATTTTTCTTGCAAGACTTGTGTAAATTTCAAATATCCTTGATATAACATTCATAGCGCTTGGATTATGGTGTGTTTAAAATATAGAGGTACAGAATAGTCAAAGATCGGAATAAAGAACATTAAAAATTGCATAAAATGCGCATACGTCATATGTTAAAGAAAAGTAGAGGGCATACTATCCAATACTATAAGTGTACATTTTAACTCAGATAGGCATTGTCGCATTTGTTATAACGCTTATCCAATAGCTTAATCCGATAAACCTATGGACTAGGATCGATATTTCACTTTTCGGTTCATTCTTGAATTCGAGCCAGTGCTTACTAACACTGATCCGAACACAATAGTGTTATTTTGAGCCAGGAATTTGTGGAGTTTACATAAACTATCATTTTTTTTGCTATTTCACCTCGATTTAAGATTTGCATTACATTTTGGTGATATTCTACTTGTTATATTTCGAGATTTTGAGCAGATAAAACTTTGCTGAATTCTTTTTTGTGCGTCTTTAAGGTAAAGAACGACCAACTCATGAATCCCAGCAAACGTGTTGACACATCTACAGTAATTGAACTATTAACGGCATCTGAATTGTTCTTTTTGGAGAGGATATCTTACTTAACACGCAAGCAATCACATTCACTTGCTTGGTGATTATGGCGATTATGCTTATAATCATCGATATGCAAACGTTCTATATTCAATTAAAGGCCCACTAAGCGTTTTTCAATGTTTTTGTGCAAAATAAAGACTTACATTTGAATTTTATAGAATGTTCAATATATTGATAAGAACCTTTTATTTCCTTTAACACCAACAACACCTCTAACGGACCACATCAAACCTTACAATGATTAATCAAAAAGTCTAGCTTTATACAACGTCATTGAAAGATGGCAAGTTGCTTGTATTATATTATACATTCATTCAAGTGTTGCTATCTTTCAAATAAAAAGTAATTTAAAACCTGCACTTTGTTTAGCATGTCCATGCACTTCTATTGAACTCTGAACTTCAAATGTTTTTTTTCTATGTACGTTACAAATCAAACTTTGTTTCATATTTGAGCGAGTGTGTGAGTAACATGTTTCAATGATTATATTTTCCTTTTCTTCTAAATTAAGTATAGTGGGCCTTTAAGGATGCAGTACCGGGTCGGTTTACACGTCTGTTTGCGCAGGTTTGACTTCCGGTGTAAAAGGGTAGGAGGTCCTATCAAATGATGGTCCTACTCTCCATTGATTTATATGGTGGCTTAAATAAAACTCTTTCCCTCATTATCTTATACACAATCAGGGCCAGTAAGGGCCGTTAAGAAAGGGGACCATAATCCCTGGGGGATCGCATTTAGTCTTAATCAAAAATTATAGTTTATTTCGATAATGGTTTTTCCAGAAAAGAATTAAATTGCAAACATTTTATCAAGCATATTTTATCCCTTTCACTTTTATGGGAAAACTTGTTCTTGAGTCGCAATTAGTGGATACGAAAACCAGGGTTCGAAAGGTGCCAGCTCTATTGAAAACTCAAAAAAGTAAAAAGATTCATTTTGGATGGGTAAAATAATGTTTTTATTTTGTAATTACCAGACGGTCAATCCTCTTCATATTGAACTTGGATGATGATAACATCATAGTGACACATTGTAAAAAATATGAGCAAAATCTAATGTCTGGAACTTTTTCTACGCTGACCTGGTACTGCATCCTTAAGCCTTAAATAGAGAAATTTCCATATAGCTTTGAAATCTCGCTAATTCTAGTTTTGCACGAGGTTTTAAGAGATGTGCACTCCTAACCTCTAACGACTAACTTTTCTTTTTGATAACATATTTGAATTCAGTGATACGTTTTCTACAATAATAACTTGTATTTATATAGTCATGTCATTTAAAGCGGCTCTAAGGTCTGTGGAGAGAAAAATGGAGAAATTTTACCTTTTCTGAGCTATCGGGGTGAAGTTTGGTCCAACATCTTCTTCCTTATTCCTATTTTATAAAAATGTATGCATATGGCAATATTCATCAACCAGTAGAACTGGCAAATCGTTTAGAATCTACAATTCCATACAAGGAGTCCCACTCATAGATTTTTTCAAATTCTTTCCAAGTCGACGTCGAAACACCTAGCGGGTGAAATTGAAACTAATTTTTCTGGCTGCTCGAATCGATAAAATCTCTGATAGTGTGAGTCTTTTTATGAAATCTTTCTGATAGAAAACACTTAATTAATATTAGAAAGCATTAAATGTTGAATCCGAAGCGTAATCTGAAATAAAAGTGAAAAAACATTGCGCGGACGTCAGAGAAAAACTTCCGGTTTAATAAAAAATGGCGGACGTCGAAGGAGAAATTATGACGAAGAATTAGAGGATTTTCCTTTGCCATTATCGATCGTTATAAGGTATGTGCACAAATTCTAGTAGCATACATGGAAAATAGATACATTTTTAAAGGCAACAACATATTCAAAGCTTTCATTTTACGATAGGCCCAGGATCATTGGATACGACTCGGCAATCGATACTCCCACTTTAAATCATTTTCCATGACTTTAAAGAAACTTGGGTCAGATCCCGATTGACGCAATGCTTAAGGTTCTTTAAAAACTTATTCGTTTGACACCAACAAGTTCATGATTAATTACAATACGTAAATTGACAGGGTCATCACTTACATATATGTAGTACTGTATGCCATTCGAGTTAAGACAGATTCAACCAACACATTTTCATGAATCATTGAATTAAGAGATTCTTGCACGTTTATAACAAACAATACTGTAGAAGTCTTGCCCAAGCAAAACGAAGAATGACAACGACGACATCTATTATTTAAGCTTTATTCAATTATATAGAAACTATACTATTGTGTACAATTGAATTTAAGTTAAATCATTAAGATCGTAAAGCAGTAACATTCGGTTCCTAACTGATTATACTAATAACTATACTAAAATGATATTCAAAATGTATGTATATTTTAATAAAATCAGTTAATCCCCGGCTTATTTAAATCTTCCCATGGAATTTATAGACCATATTTGTGTCATTAGATTGTATAACAATTGTATTCGATACATATATCTAAACTTAAACTAATCCTATTATTGTTAAACCGATACTTATAATAGTTGTATTTTATCATAACGCTAGTGGTAATGTTTGACATTTATGAGCACTTGCGAAGTAATATTAATATATTTTTTCTTTAACATATTATATCATGGTGAGGATAATGTCACCTTAGGGAATAAAAACATTTATTAGCACTTAGGTATATAAGCACTTGGGCAAAGGGAACCACATCTAAGGATCAAATAGGTAAGTCTATACTACCATATGCTTTTGTGAGATATGTTTTCCTCCAATTTTTACCTTTTCTCATAATCAAATTAGCAAATATGCAAGCACAATTGTCAAAAACAGATTTTTTTGTTACATTTAATTTCCTCCAAATTTGCAGCTTCTCATTTTTAAATTACTGATTAGTAATTTTCAAATACTAAATAAAACTCCTTGTTTGAATTTCTGATTATCAAATGAGCGTTTGTGTAAGAAAAATTACCAAAATATGTTTAAATGACACACCTTTATATCTACGTGCATCTTTAACATAGTTATTTGTCTCATAGTATTAGCTTAGATGCAATAAAAATGCGTTCTGTCAAATTAACAAATCAAAATTGTGCATCACGAGTCGTTATAGTACCAAGAAACGTTCCAAAATGCAAACCCACTGTCCTTTTTAAGAACCCATTTTCTTACTTTTGAAAATGGATTCTAGAAATACTATATGAATCTTGTTGAGACTCGATCAACTCGACTTCTTCAAAGAAAATGAGGATTTTAGCAAGGGTTCATTGACTCATATGGGGACATACACCATTGACCATTGAATTATCGTGGGGCATACTGCCAGGTACGTCAAACTGTATATGTCACCATGTAAAGTCAATACATCCAAAATACCGGCTCTTAAACCTGCTGTGTTGAAATTATGCATTTGATTATATAATTTTTTTAAAGACTCGAATTGTAAACGATCTTACAAAAAATTGGTTGAACTAACAACTACGAAATACCAAGTCGGTCAATAAGTTCGCGGAAAATTCTCTCATTTCAATGATTTTTGATATTTTCTCATGAAATGTTTACAGAATGTATTTTTTAATTGATTCCTGAAATATCAGCGTCTCTGATTCGATTGGTCACAAATAAATGTTACTATGGTAACTTGCCTTTTTGGTAGGCGTGGCACTTTTTACGTTACACAATTCAGTACAAAAAACTATCAATATGTGCAAATAAAGGATCCTTATGTTTTATTTGTTCTTATTTAAATTACGAAAGTACTGAGGGAGAATTGATGTTCATAGTTTTCACTGATATTTCTGGGATCCTGCTAGTCCATACTGTACCAGAGGGCCAGGAATCCAACAAAGATGATTATGCTACGGTAGGTTAATGAAACTTAAAAAACTCTTAATTTTTCCACGGGATAGTTCACCAAATTACACTACTAATATTGTGCAGAGAACCATCACAGATTACTGGCAAGCTAGATGATAAAGTTGCCCAAGTTCCATACTCCCCAACGAGACAACCCTCGATTTTGCTGTTTTCAACAGGATGGGGGATCGACTAATATAAGATGTGCACGTTATGGAACAACTTTGGACTGCATTCCGAATGGCCATTCAAATAAATTTTAGTGATGGCTCAAGGGAACAGCTTCAACAATAGATTGAATGCCATGCCAGTGAATGTGCATTAAACACGAGGGAAAATATTTCGAACATCTTATGGGACAATAGTTGTGACTATTATATTAAGTTATTTCATGTACACGTGTACGAGAGGAGAAGAGGAAATGCATGTGATTCATTCATAAACTTGCATACCTTGCTGTTGTTATTTATTGAATAATGTGAAGGAAAAAGTACCCGCCTATCCAAAAGTCAAGTTACCATAGTAACCATTATTTTGACCAATCAAACAGAAGACGCTTATAGATAATGAATCAATTAGGAAATATGTTTACACCTTATGTAAACATTTCAAGAGAAAATATCGAAAATCTTTGAAATGAAAGTATTTTTCCGTGAATTTATTGAACGACCTGGTATATGCATTAAAAACTATTTGCTTTAATCTTAAAATGGTAAATGATACAATAATGTTAACTCAGAAGAATTGTGAAATATGTTCATGACATGCATGTAACCGTGTCGAGATGACGCTCCGAAAGTACGCAATTTTTAAGATCTTGAATATTGAAAATATGACAGAAAATATGACCCCGATGTCACCAACAATAAAATAAAATGTAGTTTAAATGACACGATATTGATAAAAAATATTTTAAATTGTTGGCAGCTGAATTTTCCTTTCAATGGAAAATAATGATGTTGCACTAAATGCGTTGATTATACTAAAAGATATGTGTTTCTATTAATGTGCAGATAGCGATCATGTTGCCTTTCGTTTTGATGTTCGCCGTGGCTATGGCCAGTGGCCCACCCGTTGAAACTGATCCAGGTTCGTACAATTATCAAACGATGTTATGTTTGCTTCATTTGTTACCTGTAATTATTAAAGTGAAACTGGATCAATCTCGTGAAACTGGATCAATCCTCCATTATTTTCATTGGTCGCTCATATTTACTACTGTTGAATTTGAATTTTCATCTAATAAATAGTGCCCTGTTTGTTATAATGTTTTAGTCAAAATCAGTTTCACCATAGTAAAGGCAAATACTCTCTTTAAACTAAAAAGCAGGGTAGGTAAAAATCAGAGAAGTAATAACATTCCTTAAAGCAGAAACTTTGTCGACAATAATTGAATATTACCGCTTATCAAAACCTCTTGAATCTGTCATTTAGCTGATTGTTTATCATCATCCGGGTATCTTGCCGGGACCGACTTTGGCGAGGATTGTTGTTCTTTTGTCGTGTGTGATGCTGCTAGACTGAACAAAACTGGCTTTGTTGGAAAGTGTATGGGAGGAACTGCTTGGAACCAAGATTTACTTGTATGTGATGACCCAAAATACGTAGACTGCGACGTATTAACATGCGACGGTGAGTATATTTTGTCTTTAAAAGTGCACGACATACTTTTTATATCTGTCGTGGTACAAATCTCGTGGTTGTCTCAAGTGTGTCTAATCGCTCGCATATTGTTTTGTTTGAGTTATTTGTATCAACGACGCTGTTTTATCAGACTCAGAGTGGAACGTCTTTTAGATGAAAGATCATGTGGTTTTAGTTATTATCAATATATGATTCAATAAACCTAACTTGTACCAGAAGAAGTATATTTATATTGTCGACCTTTGTAAAAATGTTAATCTGTCCTTTCACCAGATACACCTAAATACATGCTGACATAAAAATGATTTCTACGTTAAAGTACCCTCAAGAACAAATGCTGAGTGTGATGATCCTCAACCAACTGGATCCACTTGTTGCGTTGGACAAAACCGTGAAAATGGCAAAAATGGTTACGAGCCAGTCTTCAGCGCCGGATCCGATGAGAGTTCTTACTTCCGTGGTGATGACCGTGAGGAACAGACCTGCCCATTCGGGCAGATCTTCAGCCTAGAGTCATGCTGTTGTGAATACGTCTGTAAGTTGTCAGGGATTATTGTTCCTCCTATATTTAATCACATCATATTTAAATACGTAATAGATGAGTGTCAAACGACTATATAAGAAACACTGTTGTTCGCTGATTTCTCTTTCTCCCGTAAATACGAGGGGTGGTCCAAAAGTCTTGGATCCCGTGCTCTAACTTTGCTATTTTCTGATATAATTGTCAGGGATTATTGTTCATCCTATATTTAATCAAATCATATTTAAATACGTAATGGCTGATCGAGTGTCAAACGACTACTGTATATAAGAATTACTGTTGTCCGCTAATGATGGGATTTCTTCACACAAGAGATATTGCATTGCGTTTCTTTGTCCGGGTAATAATTCGGGAGAGTACAGTACATATGCACCGCAACCGAATATGTTAATATCACGAAAATGGCCGGAAATGCTCCAATGAAGCAATCAAATAATTTGGAGGGGAAGTGTTAGATCTTCGGCCATCTTCGACAACGTAGATAGAAGAGCGAAGGTGCACCGCAACCGAAGATGTTAATATAGCGAAGGTGCACCGCAACCGAAGATGTTAATATAACGAAGATGGCCGAAGATACGTCGACGGATGGATCGCATTTTTGAAGAGTGAGGGTATGATGGTTTAAAGTTAAATAACCGGCATCTGTTATACACATTATTGTGATCTTTCGAAATGCCAAGCACCACAAACTTGACAAAATGCCGTGCACTTTTTTTACATATATGTTGGCATCCTCGCGGTTGTAGTTCCTAATGAATAACGAATCAATAAAGGAACTATTTTTATTTTGACTATTGATTCATGCTTTGATTGTATTGAGAATAGATCGAGGAATCACATTATTAATTATTTCTTATTTCTGTCTCACGTACATATGTTATGTATCATACTAAGCGTATGCATGCCAAGCTCTATCACAAACGGTTCGTTTCGGTAACCAAATGTGGGAACATCGAAGGTACGATTTTTTCTCTTTTCCTTATTTCACACGTTGTAGGCAGAATTCCCCAGACATTTTTTAACACAAACGTGTATCAGTATAATATGTTTAAGACAATGTACATATGTGCGAACAAATAGTTCAGAAGACAACAGAATCGTCGATTTAATTCTTCACTTAAGTTACATAAACGGTTTTTCAAAAAACAGTTTAGATCTGCACTTTTAACCCAAACCGTTTATGTAACTTAAGTGAGGAATTAAATCGACGATTCTGTTGTCTTCTGAGCTATTCTCGCAAACACGAACATTTTCTAAAACGTATGATACTGATACACGTTTGTGAGAAAAAACGTCGTGGGGATTCTGCCTACAACGCGTGAAATAAGTTATTACCATTACGCCGGTTACCAAAACGAACCGTTTCGGTAACCAGCGTAATCGAGTGGATCACCAGTGTCTATTATGCAAAGATTGGATTAAAATCATCGAACAAATTAACTTGTTGTTTATTTGTGACCGGTCAACTTTGAAGAGTAAAATTGACCATTTGACCAAGCTAAAATACGAGTACAGTAATCAGAAAACATTCCCGATTGTCCAAGCTAGAATACAAGTTCAGCATAATAAGTAAAACTTCACATTTGTCCAAGCTGGAATACAAGAACAGCATAATTAGTAAAATATCCCATTTGTCCAAGCTAGAATACGAACACAGCATAAATATTAAAATTAACCATCTGCCCAAGCTAGAATATAATACAATAACAGCATAATTAGCAAAAGGAAGAGGTGCGATAATTGGCAACACGATAATACCGCCATGGTCAAAATATATCATTTTTAGATGTAACATAAAGAACATAAAGTCATATAATTCTCCAAAAAAATGTTCCAAAAACAACTTCTACACTTATCAAATATCATACAAGTTTGAAAAACGGAGGATTATACTATCATATTTTATAATTTATGTATATTTATTTTATGCATTAATTTCAATGTAAGAGATATATGAAATAGCCCCGGGGATCAATATTCGTTCAGTGCAAAATAGTACTCTGGGCGGAAGTTCGCTGGGGTCTTGAAAAAATGAATTTTAATTTTGAAGATTTGTGAGATTTTAATCAATTTATCATCTATAGAACTTAGTAAATATGTCTGACACAGAAGAAGGTGCGAGAGCACCGAGGATTATACTAATATTTCATTATTTAGCAACATATTTGAATACTTCCTACGCGAATATTACACAAAAATACTTCCTGGTTTGTAATCTATGCCTCTACACTTTATGATTGAATTATGACCCTAATAAGTGGCCCGTAAATCAATACAGTGCTGAATATAGGTCAGCAAGATACTAGTGTGCATATAAATGTAATAATTAAAGCAGTATACTCAGTATACTGAGAAATCAGATGAATTTATTTTTTTCATGGGGAGATCATAATGGAGAGTGTACTAGATCCTTTCCCATTTGTCCAAGCTAGAATACAAGAACAGCATAATTAGTAAACGTTCCCAACTGTCTAAGCTAGAATACAAGTACAGTAAATTAGTAAAAGTTCCCATTTGTCAAAGCTAAAATACGAGTACAGAATAATTAGTAATATTTCCCATTCGTCGAAGTTAGAGTACAATACAATTAGTAAAATTTACTATTTGTCTAAGTGCAGCATAATTAGTACAATGTCCCATTTGTCCAACCGAATACGAGCACAGCATTCTTATTAAAGTTTCCCATTTGTCCAAGCTAGAATACAAGTACGGCATCAGTAGCAAAAGCTCCCGTTTGTCCAAATTAGCATATTACTACAGCATAATTAGTAAAATTTCCCATTTGTCTGTTAGATGAGGTGGATCCCGCTTGTGCTGATACCACATCATTTTTCTTTGATGACCCAACCGGTGATGGCTGCTGCTCCTACATTCAATGTTTTGCCAACAGGTATACAAAATAACAATGATAAAATATCGATATACAATAACCACAGTTAAAGATATTCATGATTTAATAACAAGACATTTACATGATAAAATCTCAGCAAAAGTAAGCTGAACACCGTCGAACACCGTTCACAAATACGTGTGAGACTATTATACTAATAACATAATAATAACTTCGTGTGGTGACCCAAACACGCTAATTATAATCTCGCCCCTTCATAATCAATTAAAAGAAACCTCTAGCTCAATTATTAAAAACGTTCATTTCAGGACCGGATATGACGTATACGCATGTTTGGGAGGCAGCGTCTGGAATTCTGCAAACAAAACATGTGATATCCCATACAATGTTATGGATTGTATGAGCGCCCTGTGCGGTGATGCCACTACCGATCCTCCATGTGATGGCACTGGATCAGGTACATTGTTATATATCAGAATTTATAAACCACACTCCATAAGAAGCCTTAAGTTTAGCAACCGGAAATTCCCTTTCTTGATGGCTTGTTAACACCTGTTTGGCGGTTCAAAATGTCAAAGTCATGAAGTTCAGAACTAAAAGCCCAATGTTACAAATCAAGATTTGACGATAAACATGCTTTTACACGATGTGGAATGAAGGATTCCGGTTGGAAAACCTGGGGGGGGGGGTGTACAATAAGATGCACCCATGACAGATGCGGTTTTAGATTAATAACAGTTGGATATAGAATTAATATCTCGGGGAAGCAGGACATATACATAGCTCCTGTTCTTTATCTCCTGTTGTGTATCTCCCGCTCCCATACTTCAAGGATGATGTTTTTTGTTGATAAGTGCACCTAATTGCTCTACACACTTTTTTTCATTTATGGCCTTGTAAAATTTAATGATATGATGTCAACTCTATTTTAGTGTCATTTGACATAAAATAAATTAGTCAAGTGACGGTCGGTTTTAAATATGGGATACATCCTTCGGTAAATGTGATATCTTACCTTGGACCATTCTTGCTCTCTGTAAGATATCTATATTTCCCTCAGAATCGAACAATATCCAAAACCTCCCATAATATAGCCTTCATATTAAGACAAATTGTAGATCAGTAGATTTAGCATACACTTTATTATGTGAGTAAAAATTGTTTGTGTGTAGGTACTTGCTGCCGTGCTGGAAACTATTACATCGAGGGAGGTGACGACACACAATACATCATCACAGATGGCCCTGGAGCCAGTGACAGACTTCAGTGTTGCCCACAGGATATGGATGGCCTACAACTCATTTTCAACTTTGATGAGGAGGTTTGCTGTTGCGAGCTCCCCTCAGACGTATAAATGTATAGCATTTGGCGCAATAAAATATGAAAACAATAATTTTGTCATGTGTGTTAAAGCCGTTACGTATTTATTTATTTGCATTCATAAAAACGTACGAATACTTTGGAGAAAATATCCAAACGTTACATACTTGTTACCTGGTACTACAACATTATTGATTTGACTCGCCAAAACAACTTGAATCTTAGCATATCAATCAACACCTTTTCGAACTACCACTTGGTAAATAAATCCAAGTTGTTCAAGATGCCATGGTAACCATGTCAATTAGAGTAAAAACGCGATAAACAATACCCAGAGCTACGATAATTGCATTCGTTTTGAAAATATTTCTAAACATACAATTCTTATCAAACGTTTATATAATCTAGGACATCATATAAAACATTTATTGCAACACATGAGGGAAGTTTTTTTGCTTTTGCTATAACACCCGATTTTACTATTAACCAAATGGCTTAATAATCTCAAAATCGATGTCATAATTTTGAACGTATATTTACAAAGCTTGCTCTTAAATCTACGTTCACACCAACGGCGAATGCCACGCTTTAAATCGGCGAGCAAAGCGGCAACAAAGCATGGCGCTTTAAAGCATCTTGTAAAGCGGCACCAAAGCGTAGTACAGCTTGATTAAAGTGTCGGGGTAAGAGCTCGGAGTAAAGCGGGATGTTCGGCAAGAGCGCCAAAACTTTTAAAACTGTTAAAGCTACGTTCACACCAATGGCGCTTTGATGGCGCTTCAAAGCGGCTTGTAAAGCGGCACCAAAGCGTAACAAAGTTTGATTAAAGCGTCGGGGTCGTAATAGGAAGTAGAACAGCTCGGAGTTAAGCGGGATATTCGGCAAGAGCACTAAAAATGTAAACTGTTCAAGCTACGTTCGCACCAACGGCGCTTTGATGGCGCTTTAAAGCGGCTTGTAAAGCGGCACCAAAGCGTAACAAAGCTTGATTAAAGCGTCGGGGTCGTAATAGGTCGTAGAAAAGCTCGGAGTAAAGCGGGATAATCGGCAAGAGCGCCAAAAATGTTTAAACTGTTTAAAAATTTTGGGCGCTCTGTTACGAATTGATTGAAGCGCCGAGAGCGTATCAAAGCTTAACAAACCGTAACAAAGCTCAACAAAGCTTGACTCAAAGCGTAGGAAAGCTTAACAGAGCTTGGTTCAAAGCGGGGACCACAGTCTGTTCACGGTCTCTTACCACTTGACACGCTTTGTTAAGATGTCTCAAGATTAGCTACGATCTGGCATGAAGATCTGACACGAGGTCAGACGCTATCATCAATATCTGACACTCTTTGTTACACTTTCATGAAGGACTCTCAAGCTTTCCAACGAATTGAGACGCTTTAATCAAGGATTGAAACGCTTTGCTGTACGCTTGACAAGTTTCCACACGCTATATCACGCCGTGCGACAAACGTCATGTCTTCGTCAGATAAGTCATGCTCTGGTCCATCTGGAATTTCTGGATCTCGTTGTTCTGCCATCGTGTTCTCGAGTCAAAGATGCAATGGTTTTATGGATCTACTGCATCTTTGTATAGTCATTGGATCAAAAGCGGCATGGAATCGGCGATCTCGACATTTTCCAATGCGTGACAGAGCTTAACAGAGCGTAACAATGCACAACAGAGTTTTGCAATCGTATCAGAGCCTGATTTAAAGCGTCATAATCGCATCAAAGGGTAATAATGCTTATCAAAGCGTGATTTCAAGCGTAACAAAGCCTGATCAAAGCGAGATCAAAGCGTGAGGAACCTTTTAGAGCTATGACAAGCTTTCCTACGCTTTGGATCAAGCTTTTCTGAGCTTTGTTACGGTTTTCTAAGCTTTGATACGCTCTCGGCGCTTAATCGATTCGTAACAGAGCGCCCAAAAATTTTAAAAAGTTTAACATTTTTTGGCACTCTTGCCGAATATCCCGCTTTACTCTGAGCTTTTCTACGACCTATTACGACCCCGACGCTTTATTCAAGCTTTGTTACGCTTTGGTGCCGCTTTACAAGCCGCTTTAAAGCGCCATCAAAGCGCCGTTGGTATGAAGAAAAATGACAAAAATGACGGCGCTTTGCTCGCCGATTTAAAGCGTGGCATTCGCCGTTGGTGTGAACATAGCTTAATCCTTGGTAAAGCTAAGTTCACACCAACGACGCTTTGGTGGCGCTTTAAAGCGGCATGCAAAGTCTTTGATGCCGCTTTACAAGCCGCTGTAAAGCGCCATCAAAACGCCGTTGGTGCGAACGTAGCTTGAACAGTTTTAATTGTTTGCGCTCTTGCCGAATATTCCGCTTTACTCCGAGCTTTTCTAATACCTATTACGACCCCGACGCTTTAATCAAGCTTTGTTACGCTTTGGTGCCGCTTTACAAGCCGCTTTAAAGCGCCATCAAAGCGCCATTGGTGTGAACGTAGCTTTAAGGAAGTTTCGTTGCACTTTAACAATTTCCACGAGACGATACACATAAAAAGGGAACTATGTCTTAAATGTAGGCAAAGAGCTATGATAATTCCAAAATGTTGACACAATCACATTTAAATTGTATGGACAAAATGTTATAGGCATACTTAACATTGTCCAATCAGTCTTACTTTTCTCACAGACATTAAATAATTCAATTATCTCCTAAGTGTCGAATTCTTATCTAACTGCATTCAATATTGTATCAACTATGGGTAACCATGGTAACTAGGGTAACCATGAACGTTTTTGAATGATAATTGAATACTTTTGTCATATCTGTTTTATTTTATTTAAAGACTCAAAACACGTGTTGGGTCTATAAAATGTTAAATCAAGTGCCAAGGAAGAGTCACATATCCTTTCATATGCTTGTGAGTTCTAAATTCAACTGCAAATTGTGCTGTATTACATCTCAATGAATCTTTTAAAATAGTGAATCACAGAGAGTCAGAAAGTGAGTCATACTCAAAGATTAACACGTATCCAATAAATGCCCAGAAGAAATGTGTCATTTACAACAAATAAACGTCAAACAAAGGATTGTTAAAGTACAATTGCTATTTACAGGAGACAAGACAGGCTATTGCCAGGAAAATCAAAACACACACATGGAGACAAGGCATTTTCAAGGCAAGCCTTTAGAGATTGTACAAGCGCTTCGGTGGAGGTAATGAGGGGGTATTCAATCCTAAGCGATCTGAAAGACCACAAATTTGCCACCCTTATCACAAGGATAAAAACAATATTCATATTGTAGAAGCAATCTTAAATGCAGTTCGGAGATTGACACTGAGGGAAATAACTACCACTGCAGATTGAATAAATATTAAATAGAATAAATGAATGATCAGGCATGATGTGAATTATGGTTGAATGTATCGTGCTACCGCCTTCAAATATTGCTATTTGCTAACTTTTCATGAAAATGCATGTTATTATAATGGCAATATACTATAAAGCCAATTCCGGGTATAAGCAGCCTAATGCGGGAGATGTGCCATATATTGAAATGTATTCCGATTGATGTGATACAGTTTCAACAACTTATAGACGATTGGTTGATATGTCCCAAATGACCAAATCTCATACAAATTGGGTGAGCGTAATCATGCCTATAAAATCTTGACCAACACTTTTGAATCACCCCTCGTGTATATTCGTTTTATATCTAAATAAAATGTATACATTTAAAGGCACACTTTACTTAATTTAGAAGAAAAAAAATCATTGAAACATGTTACTCAGACACTTGCTCATATATGACACAAAGTTTGATTTGCTTTAATATTGGACCAAGGAAAAATAACTCACATAGAAAAAGGCATTAGAAGTTCAGAGATCATTAGATATGCATGCACATGTTAAACATGTTTTAGATTACTATTGATTTAAAAGATGGCGACACTTCTATAAACATGAATGTATCATGTAATACAAACAACTTCGCCATCTTTCAATGACATTGATAAAAACTTGATATATAAAGCTTGACAGATCAAACACATTTTTGGATAAGTTATTGTAAGCTTTGATGTTGTGCATTTGAGCTGATGTTGGTGTCAAATGAAAGATAAGGTTCTTATCAATACATTGGACATACTATAACATTTAAATGTAAGTCTTTATTTCGCCTAAAAATGTTTAAAATTCCCAAAGTGGGCCTTTCAATTTAAGTTAAATCACTTAGAATATGAAGCAATGGCTTAAGATGTCTGATTATAGAAACGACAATAGTTATTCTAATATCAATATTAAAAATAACTCATTTATTCCCCGCTTTATTTAATTACTATAATGGAATTTAAAGATCATATATGTTAAATTAGATTGTTAAACAATCATCTGATCATATTCTTTGCCTGGTGATCAAAGCGATAGCGTTAAGTGCAGTTTTTGATAATTTCATTTTCAGGTTAAACATCATTAAGATGTACATAATCCAATTCCAATACAATATACATTTTGAGCAGCGTATAAAAAGTCTAATAAAATCATGTATTTCAAATCACTCAAATAAAAGTTATATTTCTGTACACGTGTTCCCTTTCCCTAGCTTAACATCAATCTGAAGATATTCTTACACATTTCTTCAAAGCCAACCAAAAAAGTGTTAGGATATCTTTACACTTACAGGGAAGAATTAGTACGCGCAAATTTAATATTCAAAATGTATACATATATCTAAACTAAAATTAATCCCATTATCGTTAAACTAATACTTATAATAGTTGTATTTTATCATAACGCTAGTGGTAATGTTTGACATTTATGAGCACTTGCGAAGTAATATTAATATATTTTTCTTTAACATATTGTATAATGGTGAAGATTATGTCACCTTAGGTCCTAAATACATTTATTTACACCTAGGTATATAAGCACGGGGGCAAGGTGAACCACATCTAAGGATCAAATAGGTAAGTCTCTTCTACCATATGTTTTTGTGATATATGTTTTCCTCTAATTTTACCTTTACTCTGAATCAAATTAGCAAATGTGTACTAAGCAGAATTGTCAAAAACAGATTTAGATGAAATAACTGCGTATGTTTTTGTCAAATTTATTTTCCTCCAATGATGCAGTTTTTCATTATTGTAGTAGTGATTAACAATTGTTGAAAAACAGGTTTGAATCAGATAAATCTCCATCATTGAGGTTCTTATTATTAAAGAGCGTTAATGTAAGAAAAATTGCCAAAACATATAAGAATGACGTATGTTTATATCTACAAGCGTTTTTAACATTGTGAGTTGATTCTGAATATTAGCTTTATTAACATTTTCTATGGAATAAATCAGTCAAAATCGTGCATCACCATGACTCCTAGGTGCTGAAGAGCTGTGTCGAGCATATGCATTTAAATAAGTTAGTTCTTTTAGAGACTCGAATTGTACACGAAAAACGTTTTAACTACCAATCACTGATTAAGTAAGACATCTATTATATAAACTAATAAATTACCATCTTTAAAATGGTGTGAATGTTGTTGTATTGTTAAGTCAGAAGAATTTTGAACTATGTTCATGACATGTATGTAAACGTGTCAAGATGACGCTCCGAAAGTATGTAAACTGCAAGATCTTGAATATTGAAAGTATGACTGGAAATATGACACCAATGTCACCAACAATGAAACAAAATGTAGTTTAATTGACACAATATTGACAAAAAATATTTCAAATGATTGGTAACTGTTTTTTTCTTCCAATGGCAAATTAATGCACTGAATGTGTTTATTATACTAATAAGCATGTATTTTTATTTATGTACAGGAAGTGATCATGTTGCCTTTCGTTTTAATGTTCGCTGTGGCTATGGCCAGTGGCCCACCCGTTGAGACTGACCCAGGTACGTACAATTATCCAACTTATGCAAATTATGTTATGTTTGTTTCATTTGGTTACTTATAATTATTCCTGTGAAATTGATTCAATCCCGAATGTTTTGATTGGTCGCTCAAATTTACTCCAGTTACATTTTCATCCAATATACAGTGCCCTGTTAAGCTAGCCGTACGCCAATGGGACAATGTCCGACTTTGTCCCTTTGTCCGTTTTGACTCAACTTGTCCGCTCAGTTGTCCCCCGGACATTATGGGACATCATTGGACAATGCCCCACGTTGTCCCATTTTGCTCGATGATGTCTTGAACCCTGGAATATAGCGGCATTTTGTCAGAAAATGGTCATATGATCATAACGTGATAAAATGCCCCTCATTTGTCCGGAAATGTCCCAAGAAAAGAATCAACATGTTCATTCCCTTCTTAAGAAATAAAGGGACAAAATGGACAAAATCGGACAACTTGGAACACTGTCCCGGGGACAACTTGGGACAAAAAGGGACAACGTGGGACATTGTCCCCAGGGGCCGTGAATTCGTACGATCCCAAATCCAATCCGGATAAATTTTATCTATCGGGATAAATCTTGGATTATTAATCCGATAAATATTTGGTGAATTCGTACGATCCGAGGATTATGAGGGGAATCCCCATGATTCATTCAATTTGCATTGGAATTCGAATAAAAATCCAAAAAGTAATCCACCTCAAGAGGTGAATTGAAATTTATCCTGAGATTAATCCAAGGATCGTACGAATTCACCGATTTTTGGATTTATTCTTGGATTAATCCCACAATGCATCATTACCATGGCAAAATTTATCCGGATCGGATCGCAGATCGTACGAATTCATCGCCCCTGGTGTCCCCTAATGTCCCAGGGATGTCCCATGGGAATGTCCGAACTTATCCCTTCATGGCTCATGAAAATATTTTACTCAATAGCTCCTTGATGTCCAATCATGTCCCATTTGCTATCTTTAGAATGTTTTAGTCAAAATCAGTTTCTCTATTATGGTTAAACTCTACTCACTTCCCGATAAACTATAAATAGGTTAGATTGTGACATTGGTTCTTGAATGGTGGGGGAAAGGGGGTATTAGACATTGTTTCTTTTCACGTAAGATCATTGTTTTGGGCTATATAGGGTCTGTTTTTCTTGACTGGTATACACTTAAGAGTTTGCTTTTTCTTGCTAAGTTCCATTACAACTTTTGGTCCTTTCCCTTATTAATATCCTTAAAACAGAAACTTAGTAAAATGCATTGTCATGATGTCATCATATCCCTCGGCTTAATATTACCGCTTCTCAGAACTTCTCGAATCTGTCATCTAGAGGCATGTAAGGCAACATCCGGGTATCTTGCCGGGACCGACTTTGGCGAGGATTGTTGTTCATTTGTCGTGTGTGATGCTGCTAGACTGAACAAAACTGGATTTGTTGGAAAGTGTATGGGAGGAACCGCCTGGAACCAAGATCTACTTGTATGTGATGACCCAAAATACGTAGACTGTGACGTAACAACATGCGACGGTGAGTATTCCATTCTGTTGTTGTTTGAGGCGCACATACGCTGTTATATCTGTCGTGGTACTATGGTATTTTCACACCGTCGAGAGACCTGTATCAAAATATTCTTTTATATATAACAAAATATTTCTACGATTTAACATGGTGAACGACGTGTCAAAAGGCACTAATTTGACAATTAATTAAAATAATATTCCTCATTTCTTAACTAGCTCAAAATATACAGTCAGTTGTAATCACAACACGAATAACTGTGGTCAATTTGTCAATATGCCAAGCTGAAAATGTGCCAACCAATCAGTGTTTTGGTAATTGCATACTGGTCTCATACATATTGTACTTTATCTGGTTTGGTTAACTTTATTGAACTAGTACCAATTATGACCAAACACAATCATCTCCCTGTCAAAATATTTTTGTTAGTCATTGGTTCAGTAAATGGATCTATCATTAATATCATATCAATCTATCGCATGAAACAGAGAAAACAGGATGTGTCTTCTGTACTAAATCCACATCAAGGTTAAACGTTACGAAAAGCTTAATACATACAACAATATGCTCAATACAGGGAACGGTGAAAATATGAATGATGCAAAGCATTCAAACAGAATAAGATTACAGATAAATGCTTTGATATTTTCAACAATGGGGAACGTACAACTCCACAGCTAAAATGGCATAATAACTTCCAATATACGAGTACACACAAACCAGTTATGTAATTCTCAATGGTACCAAAATAGCCATCATAGGTTGTAACACGATATAATTTGAATGACATAATGTCAATGAGATGCAAATATTACTGTGATTGTTTTTTCCTTTAAAAGTGATATGAAGAAGCCTTCCACTAGAAGTAGTAATGATTTGACATGCAATATTCTCTCATAAGTGAGCTATCTTCTGTTGTTGCTAGAGAGGAACATGTTCTTAAGTTGTCAGATGTGAGAGAAAGATACTATGTCTTAGCCGGTGATTTTAACAATAAGCTCACAGAAAATATAGTACTATTTGCAATTTCGGAAAGCATTGGAGCTCTACCGTTATATAAGTTAGTTGTCCTATTACAAGGTATATCTGGTATGGCAAAATACCATTTTCAGGGGATGGTGCACATATCGCTGTACCTCAAAAGAGAGGTTTTGATGTACCAAGCTACCAATCCACTTCGTATACCCTATATCCTTGGTATTGTCTACATAACTGATGTGCTAATAAGGCTATCTAAAATGATTTTATTGCTTCACCCCCATTGGTTGCTCAGCCCCATTGTCCATAGTTTTCTAATCAAATAAAATAAGGCATAGTTGTTTGAAGCAAGACATCCTTTTAATCGGTGTTTAGACTATTACACAAGCTGGTTCATTTTATATGAGAATAAGTAGTTTTCAGTTAGATAATAAATTGTTAGGAACATATCAAAGTACACATTGGTGATATACACCGCAGTCGAATTCTTTACTTCTTTGAACATTTGAGTTATATATAATAACAAGTGAATTGGAATATGACACAATGTATCTTATGAAATAAACTTAATTAAAATATACTTTTTCTTGGTTAAATGCTAACTCGAGTTTTAAACCGTATAGTGTCTCTGTTAGCAAAGCATAAAGAGTACATTGACTACTTATTTCAATCATAGGCCAACCACAAGCAAAACCAATTTAGCTTTCAAAAATCTCCTAAATCAATCAAAAATGGTTTTATTTCACTTTTTTATAGTTGTATCTGTATCTGTATCACATCAGGGATATCAGCACTAGGGCCAACCCCTTCCAGGCGTCTCTTTCAGGACTTTCATCGTTACGAGGCGCATACGCTCTTGTATTTTAAGCTTTTTGACTCCTCTTCTTGTGCTAAGGGATGCTCCATGCCCGAAATTGATGTCATGCTCATGAAGACGTCATATTGCACACTCAATGTAGAGCGTCTATTTTATAGTTAATCAAATTGTTTGAACTAAAATTAATTTTCAGTTTTTTCTTTTAAAAGTTTTTTCTGCAAACACACATTTTGATACCTTTTTCTTCTTGTTAAATCTAAGTATCAATTTAAGAACTCTTTACCTTTCAATTAGTAAACCATAATTGCTGGCTCGACAAAATATACGATAATAGTATATTCAACGCTCTGATTCTAGTCTAAATTATGAAACGCTTGTACATTGTGTTTTCTGGTATAATACATGCTGACATAAAAATGATATCTACGTTAAAGTACCCTCAAGAACAACTGCTGAGTGCGCTGAAGCCCAACCAACTGGATCCACTTGTTGCGTGGGACAAAACCGCGAAAATGGCAAAAATGGTTACGAGCCAGTCTTCAGCGCCGGATCCGATGAGAGTTCCTACTTCCGCGGAGATGACCGTGAGGAACAGACCTGCCCATTCGGGCAGATCTTCAACTTAGAGTCATGCTGTTGTGAATACGTCTGTAAGTTGTCAGGGAGTATTGTTCATCCTGTCTAGAATCAAATCATATTTAAATACGTAATAGATGAGTGTCAAACGACTATATAAGAAACACTGTTGTTCGCTGATTTCTCTTTCTCCCGTAAATACGAGGGGTGGTCCAAAAGTCTTGGATCCCGTGCTCTAACTTTGCTATTTTCTGATATAATTACAGGAAACTTTCAGATAATACAGATCAACATTTTACAAACTTTGTCTATGAGTTGCACTAGAAAATAATATATTTTAGCTACTTTTGTAAATATTTTCAATATCGGGTCTCTGTCAACCGGAGCGGTATTTAAATATAGCAAATCACGTCACTATATGGCAAATACTTTAGGTGCAGGTGCACGACCTAACACCACTCATGAGAGAATTTCCGATATTTCAATCTGAGTGTCACCTGCCATAATCATCTTCACATATTAAGACATACTTTTAACAAATTTTCCACGAATTTGAACATGCTTTTCGTACTGCTTCACCCATGAATGTAAGACATTTATGAAATCGCCATTGCTTATGTGATACAAATGCTCCTGGAGATCCACTCTAAACCTCATCCAATGAGTAAAAAATTCTTTCTACCCTCCTTTCAACTTCAGAAAAGGAAAAAATCACACAGAGCCATATCTAGACTGTGTCATACATATGGTAGCTGCTCAAGGTCAATTATAGCGAGAATATATTGTAGTATTCTATGTTTCACTGATTTTTTTCATGTTCTGCATTTCAGCAGCCATCGTGGAGCAAAAATGATACCAGAATGAGGGTCGCTTGTCTGATATCATTTTTTGACATATACGGCCATTGTCATATGTGACAGTATAAACAAAGCACAATTAATTGGCTGCCTGGTAACAAACGAAGTAAACTAACATGGTTAAACATTCAAAATTCAAAGAAAATAGTGGTCAAGACTTACGAAACAAGTCAAATGGCGACAACATTTAAGAAAGTTGTCATGTGCCAATATCATTCCGTGTGACAGGGACCCTTTATTAAAACTGTTTTTGTCTAAGTTAGGTTGTTGTCCTTTACTATTGGAAAGTTAAAAGTAATTTCATCAAAAAACAACAAAATTAGAGCAGGGCGTCCAAGATTCTTGGATCACCCCTCGTATATTATATATTATGCATCTTATACTCAGCGTATGCATACCAAACTTAATGTAATCATTGGCTAAAAATCATATTTTGATTGGTTTTTAATTTAATTTGTCGTTTATTTGTGACCCGTCAACTATACAAAGTTGAGGTTAAAACAATAGTATTAAAATCACTTAAAATATAAAAATATGACCTTGTCATTTTGTTCATTCGAAAGTGCAGTATGATGAGTAAATTGTTTCCCATTCGTTCAAGCTTAAATACAAGTACCGCATAATGATTATAATTTCACATTTGTTCAACCTAGAATACAAGTACAGCATAATGATTATAATTTCACATTTGTTCAAGCTAAAATACAAGAACAGCATAGTGATTATAATTTCACATTTGTTCAAGCTAAAATAGAAGTACAGCATAATGATTATAATTTCACGCTTGTTCAATCTAGAATACAAGTACAGCATAATGATTATAATTTCACGCTTGTTCAAGCTAAAATAGAAGTACAGCATAATGATTATAATTTCACGCTTGTTCAATCTAGAATACAAGTACAGCATAATGATTATAATTTCACGCTTGTTCAAGCTATAATACAAGTACAGCATAATGATTATAATTTCACGCTTGTTCAAGCTAAAATACAAGTACAGCATAGTGATTATAATTTCACATTTGTTCAAGCTAAAATAGAAGTACAGCATAATGATTATAAGTTCACGCTTGTTCAAGCTAGAATACAAGTACAGCATAATGATTATAATTTCACGCTTGTTCAAGCTAGAATAAAAGTACAGCAATTGGTTATAATTTCACATTTGTCCAAGCCAGAATACAAGAACAGCATAATTAGAAAAATTTCCCATTTGTCTGTTAGATGAAGTGGATCCCGCTTGTGCTGATACCACATCATTTTTCTTTGATGACCCAACTGGTGATGGCTGCTGCTCCTACATCCAATGTTTTGCCAACAGGTATACAGAATAACAATAATCACTTATGTGGGTAGATGGGTACGAAGTATGAGGTTTTTTATACAAAGCCCAATATACATATACAATAACCAAAATTTAATTGAAAGTTGTAAGACATTTTACAGACGCCGGACCTCGAACCCCGAATGCTGACCGTTGAACACCGTACAAAAAATGTTGAGACTATAAGAATATGTCACCACTTCATGCGGTGACACAAAAACTAATATAAATGTCAGCCCTTCGCAATCAATGTAACGAAGCTATCTCAATTATGAAAAAACGTTTCATTTCAGAACCGGATATTCCGTATACGATTGTTTGGGAGGCAGCGTCTGGAATTCTGCAAACAAAACATGTGATATTCCATACAATGTTATGGATTGTATGAGCGCCCTGTGCGGTGATGCCACTACTGACCCTCCATGTGATGGCACTGGATCAGGTACATTGTTATATCACATTTTTTACATCACACTCCATAAGAACACACTACTATACCTAACACCTAGAAATGCATAAGATACTTTGTTTGTCTAATTGAATTGTTTAATATATTTTTGAAAGTGCCTTACTAGCATCTAATTTTCAACCGATAAACCATTCATAAGGAACAGACAAATAAAAACAAATACATAATCATTACTAATAAGCCAAATGGGTTGCTCATGGACACCAAATGCAAGGTATAGTAGTGTGAAGAAGCCATGAGTTTAGCAACTGGAAGTCCCCTTCTCGATGGCGTGTTTATGTTTTGCGGTTCAAAAATGTCAGTCATGAAGTTTAGATCTATAAGTTTAACGATAAATATGCTTTTACACGTTATCAAATGAAGAATTCCGGTCCCAATACTTTTTTTTGGGGGGGGGTACAATAGGATGCATATGTGATAAATGCGGTTTTAGATACATAACAGCGGGATATACAAATGATACCCGTCGCTGTTTATCTCATGTTGTGTATCTCCCACTCCTATACTCCAAGGACGACGTCTTTTTGTTGATTAGTGTAGCGAATTGCTTTATGCACTTTTTCGATTCATGGCCTTGTAAAATGTAATGATATGATTTCATGCTCGAGATTCTCACAAGCTTCGCTTCCAGATCGCGATCTTACAGTATATAAGGACCACTTCTTCACGTGCTTAGCATAAGCTAGTTCTGCAAGAAAGGGCTACAGTACATGTACTCTCAGCTCTATTTTAGTGTCACTTGCCATAGGATAAAAAATTAGTCAAGTGATGGTCGGTTTAAAATATGGGGTATATCACTCGGGAAATATGATAACTTACCTGGACCCTCCATGCTCTCTGTAAGATATCTATGTTCCCTCAGAATATACCAAATATCCAAAACCTCCCATTATATAACCCTCATATGATCTATGATATTGAGCATGTATGATACTGGTTTTCAAACTGGAGAGGTCGTTCGTTTTTTCGTTTGTAAGTTTATTGTTTTTTTGGTCATGGTTCGTTGCCTCGTGGTTATTTTTTTATTATCCATTGAACTGTGTCCTTATACTTGTTGCTTGTACTTTCCTTTCACCAGATCTGTATATTTAGCATACAGTTGATATTATTTGAGTAAAACGTGTGCGGGTGTACAGGTGCTTGCTGCCGTGCTGGAAACTATTACGACGAAGCTGGTGACGCCACACAATACTTCATCACAGATGGCCCTGGAGCCAGTGACAGACTTCAGTGTTGCCCACAGGATATGGATGGCCTACAACTCATTTTCAACTTTGACGAGGAGGTTTGCTGTTGCGAGCTCCCCTCAGACCTATAAATGTATAGAACTTGGCGCAATAAACTGTAAATGAAAACAAATAATTGTGTCATGTGTGTGAAGAGTAGTAACGCGTTGACTTATTTGCAGATGAATCCACCAGAGGTATCCAACATCCGTGAGAATGACTTAAACTCTTGGTATGGTGGGTTGTAAAATAGTTCTTGGTTTCGATTAATTTTGTGGCGCCATATTTTATTTCCGCGCTAAAAGCTTCTTGAACACGTGCGTCGTTAAACGTTTTTGCTATCCGGAATTCCTCCATCATTGATTTGTCTCGCCACACACAACCCGAAGGCCCGTTTTCCACCAAGCTTGGTCAAGCTATCACGAGGTGGATATTCTTCAAAATCAAGTGTCGTGGTTACCCAGGCTTAATAGCTGTCATGGCAAGCGTGTAAATGGGAGTAAAATGGGAATAAAAATACCCAAAACCTAGCATACAGGGTGTTCCAAAAGTAACAGGACCGGTGCTGGCATTTTGTTGAATATGCACCAATCGTCTTCAACATTTTACATAATGTACGTTTATGAATTGTAACTAAAACTGCAAAGTTTCGACAAAAATTATGAAACTGGGGTGGAGTTATGGTTGTTATGGTAACATGACATCACAATACCCGGGGCGACATTCCACGCAGAAAGTTACAGAGACTTGAAGCATTTTGTACAGCCCATATCAAAGTTAGGATCCAACAACTGGTGGGAATTTCATTAATTGCTAAATACATCATTTGACATTCCTATGTATCTTCTACTTTGAAAAGTAGGGTCCTCTTTGGTCATTCCAAGAGTAGCACTCTGTATCCATGACTCAAACGCATGAGTGAACCCATTTGAGGACATGTCACGCAGGGTCGATTGGACAACTTGGTGAAGGTCATTCTCATCTTAAAACGTTTTACAGCACTGATTAGCATTCCATTCTCCATATAAAAGTAAAAATTAGATATTGCATGATTAGAATAGTATGGTGCATGGTTTTAGACTTCAAGACCTAGCTCCGCTACAGCTGCAGTGGTCTTTAACTCATTCGCTACTAAGGACTTGATATGACGTCATAAAGCACATACGTTGACTACTAAGGACGTGATATCAAGTCCAAGCACAAACCCAATGTATTTTTTTGGGGAATCTTGTAACCATGACAACTTATAAAATGGGACTTAAAAAACTATTCATTCTGAAAGAGTATATCATATGCTTTAAAATGATATATAACACTATATATGTATGCCCATGTATATACAATATATATTATTTCAGAGGTACCATATATGGCAATTTTCAAAATATCGTCAGTATTATAGTGCTTTTTGCCCCAGTATTGAATGAGTTAATGCTGACTTGCGGTCAGGCGCCTTATCAAGGTGGATGACTGGATTCAAATTGGGTCTTTTCAAAAACTCAACAGTGAATTGTGCAAACTGTTATACAAAATGATATTTCAGGAAATTGAATAAATGTTATTATTATGAAATCATACTTGAATCTGAGTTGTATAGCAACACCATAACTACAAAGCAACTAATAAAACAAGCAAGAAATGTTGTATTGTAATAGGTGAATTAGATACTTTCTTCAGTAATATAAAAATGTTAAATCTTAAATTTTCATGGAAAAGTTGCCCCAGGTATTGTGATGTCACGTTACTATAGTAACCATAACTTTACCCGCATTTGATCATTTTTTCTGAAACTTTACAATTTTAGTTGCACTACGTCAAAGTGCAATTTGTGAAATTTTGAACACACTCGGTGCAGAATTGACAAAATGCCAGCACCAGTCCTGTTACTTTTGGAACACCCTATAATGGTTCTAATTCTAAAAATATTTTTTTCTTAAACGTTGATATAATTAAGAACCTCTAGAGAACATATAAATTAACAAATGCGGTAAGGCTATACTTTTTTGCCAGGCATAGCCAAGGAAAACCTACGAAAATAGCACTCGTTTAGAAACACCTACATATCACCCAAATGGCTATATTTTCTCAAAGTCGATGTAGAATAACAAACTTAGCTAAATTTGCTCTTCGGGCTATGTTTGATAGTTTTTTCTAACCAAGTAACAATGACATTTGCACTACACCAATTTCCACGAAATGATAAGTATGTTTTAATGCAGTCAAATTCATGCAAAATCGTCCATACGTCCATTTTGTCATTATCCGTCCACAACTCGTCTGCATCAAGCTCAGATCGAAATTCAGATAGATGTTACTAGTTCAAAACGAATACAGTCATTCGAGATGACAAAAATTAGCAATTGTATTACAATCTACAAAACTTATAAAGATTTGGTTATTTATTTATTTGGCCTCCAATACGGAAGAATGGTTTGACAATTAAAACAATCGTACACTATACCTTATGCTAATAAATCAATTACCATATCATGAATTATACACAGTTCTGTATAATTGATCAAAGTTAAGACCCAAATTAACAATGGATACATTGGAAAATCAGCCCAAAATCTGCTATGGTATTGTATCGCACACAACTGAAAAACATGTTGAAGACATGTAAGGATATATGAATACCAATTTTTGAAAAAAACATTGTATCTCAGTCAATAAACGTCTGATTGCCTTGTAAAATGGATTGTTTGTAATAAGAACCAGCTTATATTTTTGTTCTATGAAAACATATTACAGTTTCTGAAATAAAAACCTGAAAGTTCCCGCCATCCTAACTCAGCCACTTACCCCTGATCACCTCAATGTTTGCACTAAATGTGCGTGTGCTTTTATCTGTGGTTATAACTACTATGGTTACAGAAAAATATTTGTTCATGGCAGAATAAATCGGGGGTAAAATCTTGAGGTCATTCGACCCCCCCCTCCCAATCCACAAATTTGGGATAAAGGAAAAACCAACTGGATAGTTTTTGGAAACCGTTATATTGATAACACGTCAAGGAGAGGCTGCGATCATTACATTTGTTGTTACATCAGAAAAGTCCTTAAAATCTGAATCCGTCTTTTAAACTAAACGTGTCTTACTACACGGCATGTACGAAGTACCTTTATAACAAACGAGGTAACGATATCGTTTAACATATCATTTTAAGTGCACTTCAGTTCAACATCACACATTGCAATTCAAACATCAACATATTTCTTAAACATTTCTGATATTCAATACAATGGCTGATGAGAAAAATGAACACAATTTTTACACTTCACAAGCGATACATCTTCCAACTATTCAGCAACTGAGGAATATATCTACAGATCTCGGACTAAATCTTACCGATGACCAACTTGAGCAGCACAAAGGTAGTAATTTAAGAGTATATTGCATCAACATCGAGAAGGTTCATGTTACTAACCTGATTAATGGGATAACTGTTTTTAGCAACACACTTTAGGAGCAACTTAATGTCACTGTAAGTTATGATAAAATTTAATACAAGGTCGTTTTTATTCCTTATTTCTTAAGACCCATTAAAACTCGTTTTTTCCCAGTGTAACAGAAGTCATGATTCCCTATGGATGATTATCCCCCGGACCTACATTCATAGGACAGGAGTTCTTAGGAAAATAGGTCCAGGGTTGGCAATTGTTCAAACGTAATGAGGGGACCTTTAACCCTAGTTCTCATTGTCTTTGATTATGTAGTGCCCCTGGGGCAATTAAACCTGGTGGGACAACCGTTTTATCATAAGCAGAGTAATAGTCCCCTATGCAATATACAACGTGTACATTGGAAGTTTTAGCATAATTAATTTTAATTTTTCTGCATCCAATCTGATGCAGCTTAATAGATGTAGGCGCTGGAAATTAATATTGTTTAAAAGTATATATTTCTTAGATTCCCTACATATTACTTCAAATAGCTATTGTTTCTTTATATATGTGTGCACGTATAGATTTTTAAAATGTACAGTACATTGTTGACAAATATAACGACGTGTGTTATTCATCTAAAAGTTATCTCCATCTAAATGTTTAAAAGTATATTACGAATAAAAAAGTTGATCATTGATATATTAGGAAGACCTTAATTCCCAGTAAAAATGGTCCCATCTGGACCATTTCCCCTAGTTATAAGACAATATTTCCAAGGTTTTAGATGTCCGATGGGCCACTTATCCTAGGTTAAATGGTCCAGCGACCAATATCTATACTTTGGTGAGACCTTAATTACTTCTCCACCGGTAGTCTAATTCTCGTAATATGTTTGTAGAACATATGAAAGGAGTCCAGGGCGCCTATCAGATGTTAGAAGAACTGGTTGAGCCAACACTGGAAGTGAAGTTCCCAAGGACACCTGGACATAAACCAAAACCAGATGAGAATCCATTCAATGCATGGTAAACATTTAGTTAATATGTTATTTGCTTATTATTTAGTTATATTCGGACACAAAATAATAGAGCATTAAAGAAAATATAATGAACAAGAGGTAAAATTGAATTAATTGCGTTTCATATTTTCATTGTTTTCCTTATGTTTACACTATGCTGACTCAGAAGTATAACAATTTTGTCTAAGTTTGTATTCCCGAGTGCAGATAACGGCTACCAGCTATCGGGTTGATTGCAATTTGAGGGAAATCTCATTTAAATATTAGTTATATAGTACCTGTCCTGCTTCCCGTTAGCTACCATCTCTCGCTTCATACCCGTCGCTGGCCTATCTGTAATCCAGGTGGGCAATTTAAAGTCAAGTTAAAAGAAACAGCTGGAGTATTATTTATATCTTATGACAACCTAATTTGAATGTAAGGCTATAAAAACGTCTGGGTTTCACTGGTACACATGCCCTTTTCAACCTTGGTTTTTACTATAATAAGCATCTGTACACGATCGTGCTCATCTAGTCAGTTTTAAAGCTGTTATTAAAACTATTCATTTGTATATTGCATTTTTTGAATCGGTAAAATTGCTTTTAAAGGTACTTGGCATGGTTGTAAAATAATAATTTGTTTCCACTCATTTCAAACATACGATCAAATATCATGCTATTGGGAGATGCGAAAAAATATCTCGACTGCAAGGATAATTGAACCCACAACCTCCAAATTTTCTGTCTCGTGCTCTACCGGGTACCATTTGAGCTACGGGGTGGACTGGCTCTTTCACATCAACACTGAATACATCCAATCACAGTAATGCCCAGTTTCCTGGACCCATCATTGAATTAACCTGTCTTTACAGGTCGTCAATCACACTATTCATTATGTCACATGGTCTTTCCCATGACCCATTACATTATTAGTTTCCTAAGTTGTCTAGTAGTTGTCGAAAATGCCAAATTTGTCGATAACCTTTATCTTTATCAGGGCTTGGTGCACTGATATTAAAGGATCGGAAAACGGCAAACTTAAAGGAAAAACAGTGGCTATGAAAGACTCGATTGCAGTGGCCGGTGTACCTATGACAAATGGCAGTAAAACATTTGAAGGATACGTACCAGAGTTTGATGCCACCGTTGTCACAAGGATCCTGGAAGCAGGTATCTCATTAAGGTGTAGTAGATCAAACCAGTACATGCCAATGGCTCGTAGCGATGTCATTTCTATAGTTTAGGCTCAGAAAAAGTATTACTTTAAAGTCAAAAGTCAGATCTATGGAGGTGACAAAATTACAATCTGAAATAATCAAATGAATCAATTCAAATCGAATGCTTCTTGACTTCATTTTTTGCGGAAGTCAGATCAAGATGTGCTAAGACAACAGAGCAATAATAATGATCAAGATGATGTCATACTTAATGACATACACGTATTTGAATCCCAAAACCAAGGACATCAAATGAAAAGAAAACGATAAAAGAACCAATCAGTCATGTTTTTTACTTGAAATAAGTTCATTTATTTTACGCATGCGCTTTTCCCTTTTGAGATATGTTCTTAAATATTCAGGTGGTAGGATTATGGGAAAGTCAGTATGCGAGGATCTCTGCCACTCCTGCAACGGCTTTACCGCTATAAGTGGACCTGTAACTAACCCTTTAGACAGTGCACGAACACCAGGCGGCTCTAGTTCAGGATCAGCTGCTCTTGTAATATCAGTTTAATTTAGTATGAGCCTTGTGTTACCATTGTTCTTTTGTTTGTATGACTAGATGCTAGAAGAGTAACTGCTTTAATAAGTGCTTTAATTTATCTGTTCATTATTTTGTTCAAACACATGTACATGAAAATATATTATTAACATGCGGTATAGTATAAAATATATTGCGAGGGATTGAATGTGGGTTTTATTACGAGGGACAATTCAATATTTTGCGAGAGTTCCAGGAGGCCAGAGGAATGAACCAACATTCAATGCCAACCAGTTAATAAGTTATTTTCATTCAATGGTGTGCTTGAAATTGCATTTAGTTCAGAATCAATATCTAACTTTAGCATCATGCAAAATCAGACTATGGAACTTCAGAAATAAAGATTAATTTAATGAGATTTTAAAATAGAAAACTTGTATGATATCAACACATCAACATCAAAATGTTAAGAATTCGGTACACAATAAGAGTCATTAAGATATCAAGCCTCCTAGACATCTACAGAGGCGATCATCAGTTCAGTTCCGACTCAAGAATCGATAGTTGCGGGGTAAGGGTGGAAGGAACACGGTTTGCGAGGTCGGAACTGATGTTCGCGTAAGTGGAAGTCTAGGCGACCTGACATTATACTTTTAACCCTCATGTGTATGAAGTATTTTTCATAACAGGGGGGGGGGGTCAAACGACGGCGTTTCAAAAGATGGAGAGGTGTTGTAAAATGTAATGCATCATATTGTAGATCATTCAAAACTCTCGAGGGAGTTGTCTTAAAATCTCAAAAAAAGTAGATCAAATGAGGTCAAATGTAGGTCAAAGTAACATATAGGTCAGCTTTTTTCACGTATGTTTTACTTATTTCAGTCAAAAACAACAACTAATGTTTTTTTAGCCACAAAAGGGTACATAATGTGATAGATGTATATAGTATCTACCTTTTTAGAACAAAAAAAACGTGGGTAAATACCTTTACTAGATCCAGAGATAGGTAATTTGGTCGAAAATTTTTCGAAATGAAATATCGAAAAATGGGGAGGGGGTGGGAGACAAATCACAGCCCAGGACCAAAAAACTGAATAGAAAATATTTTTTGAAATAACCTCCTAGGACATACCCCTGGCTATAACATAGTGCATCTCGCGTGTTGAAAATAAGTGTTTAATTTGAGCCAGAAGTTGCAGCATTGACATTTTTTCATGGTTTATTTTGCTTCTTATTATAGATCCCATTACTGCCATATGTCTCTGGTACATAATCAAATATAGAATCACATGTCTGGCTCTATATTTACTGATTTAAGAAAAACTATTTTAAAATAAATAAAGCCAACCGAGTAGACAGAATTTAAAAAAAAAACTAGAACTTCAAATAAAATGTACCTCTCCAACTTGTTTGTTACATACTTCAAATAATTGTGTAGTATTTTGATGCATATATATTCTCAATTTTGTAATTTATATGCATATAAAGATGGAAAAATGACTAAAACTAGCCGCAAAATGGAAAAATCCTGGGGTAGGGGAGACAAAAAAATGTTTACGAAACAAATATGGTTATATTGTTTCGGAGACATCTGACAAACATTTTCAGAAAATATTTCATGGTTATATAATCACTAGTTTTTGAAAAATCTTTTTTTTTCACTCAAATAATTTTATTTGGATCGAAAAGCGAGTCGCAGACCACAATATAATATTGAATTAAAACTACTTACCTCAGTCAATTAAAGTCAGATTACCTTGTAATATTTGACAGCGTATTCACTATTCTATATGGTCGATATCCAAAGGAAATTGAATAGAATATATCTTTATTCTATGAAACCATAGAAGTGGAGTGATTTTCATGCAATTTATGAGAAAAAATCCCAAGTTCCCACCATCCTAACTCAGCCACTTTATACTTTATTACCCCCGATCACCGATCAATCGTTTTTCTTGTCACAGAAGTACCGGGGAAAAATCCGATACACATTAGGGTTAAGCTGTCTGTACATTGTACAAACTGTTCATGTCAGGGCCACAACACATTCATTTTATTGCTCTGAATTCAGTAATCATTGACTGTCTATGTTAGAGTATTATAAAGAATGATTGGCATGTGTTTGTAGTTCACACTACTTACTCGTTCACCTTGTTTGGAAAATATATTTTATCATGGGATTAAACAGCAAATTTATAACTCGCTATACCGAACAAAGTGGATGAAATAAATAGCTTTGTTTGGCAGAAATTCCCAGGAGGTGAAAACGATTTTCTTAAGAGGGATTGGGAGGTAAATACGATTTTCATGAGAGGCATCGTGATGAAAACTAGTTTTTTTTCAATAACAATATATTCCCCGAAGTAATTCACTAGGATAAAAATATTGAACAAATATATTCGAGCGACGTATCACCGTGTCCAATTCTACATCGAGACCTTTCTTCCTGTTCGTTTATTTTAATATGTATTATTTAGACGTTTCCTTGCTCTAGGTTGCTGGTGGTATAGTTAATTTGGCGCTAGGTGGCGACCAAGGAGGTTCCATCAGAATTCCTGCAAGTTTGTGCGGGATAGTTGGTCTCAAACCAACGCATGGGCTCGTTCCCTACAGCGGGGCAGTATCTGTTGATCCTTCGTTTGACCATCTAGGCCCTATCACACGAACAGTTGATGACTGTGCATTGTTATTAGAGGTTTTGGCGGGATACGATGGATTTGACCCAAGACAAAAAATAACGGATATCCCTGACTATACCAAGCTTGTGAGTTTTTTATGATAAGGAATCTTTGTGATGGTATCACAAAAAACAACACATTTTCAATATAGATTAACGTTAACATCCTTCTGAGTTGCCTCGAATATACAGGGTGTTCAGTAATAAGGGGACTGGGTCTGGTATTTCGTTAGTACTGGTCCAAACATCATGAATTTTGGTGTGTATATGGGTATTTCTAATTTGATTTATGTAAAGATATTAGTTCTACCATTTGATTGGTCGATGATATTATGGTTACCATAGCAACCGAAAGTGTGGGTACACGGAGCAATTGCAAAATTGAAATTTTTTTAAGTTTATTGTATAATCCTACAGGGTGTTTATACCTCTTAATATTCCATTCATATTTGTTTGATAACACATTGTATATTATACATTATTATAGTTATCACTCCATATAATGTATTTTAAGCTGAATGCATTTCTGATGTATCTTTGCCCATTCTCTGAATTCACTCTGGAACCCATTATTTCCCATCTGGGAGGGTTAAGCAAGGATGGCTTTGCAAAGCTCATCATTTCATGAAATGGCATTCCCTCTCACACCACTTCTTAGTTAACAACAAAGATAATGAAAATCACTGGAAACGAGGTCAGTTGAGTATGGAGCATGTTGTATCATTGGAGGTTGTAGCTGTTCATTGCAGTGTGTATATTAGACCAGCTTTGTATGATTGGGAATTATTCCATTTTCTGAAATGGTGCCATCTTGAGACTGTTATACCATTTTGATGAGTATAAAATTGTCATAGAAGATGATGATTTCATTGTCAGCTATGACATCATGATAGTAATCATATGAACATATACAAGTATTACCATAACATCAACTAATTAACAACCATATCAAAACTTTTGAAAAAAATAGTTCAGTCTGTTGATGTTCTTGCACCTTATATAAGAGCAAAACTATTTTGTAATTTCAGGGATTAGATTTTTAGCAGAAGTGCTCCAGGTACCCGCACTTTCGGTTGCTATGGTGACCATATTATTAACCAATCACATGTTAGAACTAATATCTTAACATATATCAATGTAGAAATGTCCAGAATTAGGTATATACTCAAAAAAAATTCATGATGTTTGGACCAATACTAAAAATAATTCCAGACCCAGTCACCTTATTTACTGAACAACCTGTCATGTACGTACTTGAATAACGCATATGCCTTTATTTTTGTTGATATAACTTTAATTTATAGATTGATGGTGGTGTGAAAGGAATGAACATTGGATTTGTTGAAGAGGGATTTGCCGTATGCGAGTCTGATGTCGTTAAAGTCGTCAAGGAAACGGCCGATGTGTGGAAGAAAGCTGGTGCAACGGTAGAAGATACGTCTATCCCAATGCACAAATATGGCAAGGATATACGTTTCTTAATTAAGCTAGATATTTTGTAACGACGTCTCTAGTATTCACTATTTTCACTTGACAGGATTAAAAGTATGATAACGTATGCTTGAATTTCATTTACAAAAAAAACATGAACTTGACGATTGGTTAAACTGAGCCGCTGTCGCTTGCACGTAAACATTTTACGCCCTGGTGTGGTACTACATGATGAACATAAAAACATTGACATACAGTAAGACAGAAAGATGATGATCGATATCACTATCATCTTCAACAATCTACCGTTTGTAAATCTTCTTCAAAACTTGCATGTCTTTATATACTTTCATTTTAACTTCATCTTGTTGATTCCATACTTTTATATTTTATCTGATAAGTTCGATAGTTATCCCATTATAGGTTTCGCTATATGGACGCCTATATTTGTCGAAGGAGTTTACATGCATGGCTTTGTTGGTAGGTTTCGTTAATTTAAGTTGAATGCTAGGAAATAAACTCACTATTATGAATTGATAACAAGCAGTTTATACATTATTATTCCTTGTGTTACAAATTTTAAATTAAACACTTAATGCACAATTAATTTATATGTATAAAATAAAAAAGACATCTGAGAGAAATTTCCCATATGCGCTAATAAGAAACAATTCAAATTGACTCGCTTTATAAAGAAATGGCGTCCGGCCATATTCAGTAATGATGTATTTTCGTAAATTATTAATAGCAGATGCCAGTGTGATGCTAGTGTAATGTATCTTTGTCGTTGAAACCTGGTGAGGGAGCATTTCCAAAGATCAATGTCGAAAACTAACTGTATTTGAACAGTTATGGAGAGGCGGTTATTTTAAAATGCTGTTACTGTAAAACAGAGGTTGAACTTTTTATAAAATTTACTGTTTTACATATTATTTTAGATATACACTCCCCTCCATACGTTTGGTAACCTTAGCTACCCCATTGAACTACGTGTTAAAGCCTCTTGACCTTTGAATTTACATTTCCATCAATATGATTATGGCGCCAATGTTGTCAAACTTATGAAGGGGAATGTAGATTGAATTAACGCGTTTAGGCTTATATATCAACGTTTCTCAAACGCAGTTATGAGGGCGGAGAGATGGGGGTAGGGTGGCTCGTTAAACCTAGTGTCTAAGCTTTACCTAACTGGTATGTTTAGCTGATCATAAGACGTTGGCATCGACGTGATACCTCCTATTGTTATTCTTGTACAGAAGGCCCGACATCCCGATCCTGCAGCAGTTCTTCTCAATCACGCGCGAGTTACAGAAGAGGCCAAAGCTGTTTCAGACACCATGACATGTTGTTCAACAGCAGCTTTATTAGAGTGGTTGCGGGTCTAAGTTTGTGTTTGGGTTGTACTTTACGGTATGACTTCAAAATCATTTCATTAATTGGATACAGTTATGTCCAATGTGGGGCAACACGACCATAGCCAACCAACATAATGACAGCATCACAAAGTCTGGAATATGTAGGCAAAACTTAAACCCCTCTAAAAGTCTGTTGTGAAGGAAGGAATTTGAAACATCTTTGGAACCATCTGTGACTCACACGCAATTGAGAAGATCTGCTGCAGGATCGGGATGTCTGGACTTCTCTACACCAATAACTATAGATGACACATCAATGACATCATCTTAAGATCAGATAAATATACCCTACCTGCTACCTGTCACATAATGACTTGTGATGGTAAAAAGGAAGCCCAATTTATGTCCAGAGCCACCCCTATGGGGGTCACAGATTAATTGTTTAAATACAGTGAGTAATCCTACATTGAACTTTTGAAAATCTCCCTAACAATATCTGGGTCAGAGAGAATACCATAATTAATTCATTGTGATTATCGCAGGTGCCAATGTTGGAAACAAGGGGTTCTACCCGAATTCAATGCTGGAACATTATAAGAAACACATCAAGGTCAGACCATACGATTTACCACCAACCGTTCAGTCCTCGTGTCTTTGGGGAGAATATACAAAACGAAATTACCAGTCAAAACATTATGGAAAGGGACATAACTTGAATATTGCACTGACAGCTGCATATGACAAAGCATTGGAAGCGCATGACGTCATCGTGATGCCCACTACACCATGTAAAGCCCCGAAGCTTCCGTCTGCAGATGTGAATATCCCAGGTAAGTACATCTCACAAAAGCTGGTGTTAAGTTACCATCGCCTAACCACGTAGTTTACATACAATAACAAGTCTGGATATAATTTGATAGAATACCCTGTACGAGCGTTGGTAGTGTTTTGTGATAACAACTTGATTAAACTTTCAAAGAGTATACATACTTACAAGTATGACATATTGGCGGGCGTAACGATATACTTTAAGTAAAACTTGATTATATTTATAATTTTAACGGTACAATATTTATTGCAGAGGTTCTTAAAGAGACGTCATTTATGCTGATCAATACAGCGCCATTTAATATTACTGGACACCCAGCAATTTCTGTTAATGCTGGATTCTCAGAAGGGCTGCCGATAGGTGTCATGATTGTCGGTCGCCGTAACGATGATGTCACAGTTTTAAGAGTGGCCAAGGCATTGGAAAGTAGCTTGACTTATTAATATAAGCATATTTTATTAATCGGGAATTTACAAATCTGAACAGTATAACGACATAACTTTTTAAGCGATGATTTCGCTGATTCTTAAAAACAAAGAAACAGTAATTTAGCATTTCTATGTTGTTTTCTTTTATTAAAACAATAAAAACTATATGCACAGCTGCAGAAATTGATTGCATGAATTTTGTATCAAAGCTAATACGTATCTAATTTAGTAGTTGTGGTCAGGGACATATAAACAAAATATTCCCCATCACACCTTTTGTATTTCAAGTTAAATTGCTTAGATTTTTAGTTCCAAACAAAAAACATGTTCAAAATTAAAATACTTGAATATGCATTCCATGTGTTTGACGCATATGTTTTTCTTATCCCGAAATGATATATTTACAAAACTATCTGCGTTTGTTTGATGCACACACTTATAACATAATATAGCATAACATCAAATATATGATGGGATTTTATATGACAAATAAACTAAAAACTATATGACAAGTCTTACAACTATTATGTGTTCCAAAGCATTTCTGTTAACAATTCGATTGTTGATCTTTATTAATTTCTAAGATTTATCAAGCCATTGTGTTCATTCACTTTTCACAAATTAAGCCTGTATTGGTAAAAAGGATTTAAACTACCTAACTCAATGCAACGAACACGTCAAGGCGAGGCCATTCGATCTGCCAGTACATATGCCTATGCAGTGAATATACTAAACGTAAGTACCAAGCCAAGCAAAACGACAAGGCGCAGAACTTGATAATTGCACTGAAATCTGCATATGAGAAAGCATTGGAGAAATACGATGTTATCGTAATGCCTACGGCACTAACGAAAGTCCCAAGGCCTTCATCCTGCAGATGCCAATTCACATTTTGTAATGTCCACCTGCACATGTAACGATTATTCAGACAATTTGATAACTAGAACATGTAAACGGCAAGTCATCGGAGTAGCAAATCCCACGTGACTCCCTACCAGAATAAAAAAGTTAAAATAACGACAGTTCATGTATCCTAGAACTTCGTTATCTTTAGAATATTACTTTTGGACGTCCGGTCTCCTATTTATTTTTTTAATCGTATCATTTAAAACAATACCATATGTATGAAACTTGTCATCATTTTATTGTGTACCTTATTTTCCTCATATCTAATATGCTAACACATGTTCGTTTGTAATGTGAAAAAATCAGAAAAGAGATGAATAATTACTGCTGTGTAATGCCTTGGTCACATATGCTCCAATCCATCGGCCGGCGTTGTCATTTAGTTCTACGTTCTAACATAACTAGGCACGATATCACATTGCAGTCAGTCAGACCACAGTATTATAATAATACCTTTTGAATTGTTTTCGGTCCAGATTGGATATTTTTAGATTCCATGAAATTGATGATCCTCGTTATATGTAGAAATATAAATAGTATCATTGAATGTATGATACAAAACTTAAAATCGTCCACGATGCATTGAGCCGAGTTTTCATATCCGTGTGTACACGCCACACCCTGCTCCTCCTCTTAGGCCGATGTATTCTGTTTAAGGCAATATGAATACGAGGCTTCCCCGCGTGATCGAATACATCTATTGAAACCTTGTTCGTTGGGTCGTAAACTCTGAAACAAAAGTGAAAATCATAACAAATCTGAAATCTGTGTTCCACTCTAATATGTGAATATATAAAGTAACATAGCTCATGTCGTTCTTCCACTATACCGAACATTTTAAACAAGGCATTAACATGACATAATGTCACCACCTAGTTGCTCACAATACTATGAGTTCAATCTTAAGTCAGATTTGAATTTCTGTGAACTTGTAGATGATTTTGAAAAGATGAATTGGTCAATCTGAAGCAATATGAAAATAGACCTTTGTGACCTTGAGAAATTCATTGAATTTCAAATCTTTTTCGACCTTGAGAATATCATTGTAGGTCAAATCTGTTGTCTGATTTGAACTTTAAAGTACTTGTAGATGATTTTGAAAAAAATTGGTGAATTTGAAGCAAGTTGAAAAATTACCTTTTTGACCCTTTTTGACCTTGAGAAGGTCAAATCTCAAATCTAAAGTCAGATTTGAACTTTTGATAACAAGAAGATGATTTTGAAAAACAAATGGTCGATTTGAAGCAAGTTGAAAAGAGACCCCCTCCCGTCAAAAAGAGACCATTGCAATATGTACCGAATTAATGTATAAAATACATATGCGTGTATGTGTTCTAATCGTGAGTACATAGTAGAATTTTAGGGCGTTAACATAAAATGTGTATACATACATCTTGATAAGCACAATTTGATAGACAATGAATCCAGTTCGAGGAGCCTCTGTTTCTATTGTATCTCATACATTTACTGTAACATAATCCATATATGGCACATTGTCCACTACTCTGACCACATGATGACTGAAACGTGAAATGATGAAAATACGTCAAGATATAATGTTGAGAAAGTGCAGCAAAACGTGTGAGAAGATACATGTTCAATGCAATAGGATATCATACATCAATATTCATGTAATGCAATATAGTTTATAACGATACAATCTATACAATACAATCCAATGCAATAAGAAACAACACAACACAATACAATAAAATAAATCGTATACAACATAATCCAATCCAACAATACAATGTAGTTCAACACAATAAAATACAATACGTTAAAATTACATGATATAATACTATACGAAATTCCTTCTTACCGGCGTGACTCTGCATTCATTTACGCAACCAATATATCTCCTGGTATCCCATGATGAGGCTAAGGTACAAGGCCTATAACACGGACCATAAATGCTAGCGTCTGTAGAATCAAAATCACATTCTCGCAAACACTGCTGATACGCACTTGTTGACCATGATTTAGCCAATGACATACATTTCGAGTAACATGGATTGAAAATCGCCGTCGGCTAAAACATAGATTAGTAGTATTAAATAAGAAAGAATCATTTGTCAAAATCCAGCAGATATTTGAATAACCCATGCATATCAGGTATTGATAATGGTAGATTAATGAGATATCACATTTTGCACGTTTTGTTGAAATTGTTTTTAATTTGTTTATCTAATTTTACTGTAACGTAATTGCAGGTTCAGAATATTTAAAATATGGCATCCCAGATTGAATTAGCCCATCGTAAGTATGGTCCCTGTCGAAACTCACCTTTCTAAGAGTACATGTATCTTTACAAAATGTGTATCCTCCAGGATTCCGTATCATACATTTCCCGTAACAAGGACCATACACCGATTCAGTCTGGTCGGTGAAGGAACATTTCCGCAGGCAGGTGCCGTATTGTCTCTCGCCGAGTTTTGAGATACAGTCGTGGTAACATGATTCAAATACGTCCTTTTCCTGGAACAAACATGAAATAGCGGTCGGCAAAATGAGGTTGGAATATTGTGACAGTATTTAGTATCGCAGTATCATTTGGTGACGTATTCATTTGGTTGTTCTATTTTTGTGACGTATGATAATTGCGTTCGTTGCCATTTCCCATTTGTATTTTATATAATTTTGTATTTGTATATAATCGATCAAATACCTTGTTTATTGATATTTGTTAAACGTCGCTAAACAATGCTTTAAGGACAGGGTGCATGTTGGGAAATTTTCTGCATTCCTCAATTGAGTCACATGTTATTTTTCAAACAAGAATAACTCCTTCCCCACATTGTCTATATCTTCCAAGTTTCCACAAAGAGTGCAGTTATGTGCCTAGAAAAGCCTTGTGAGAAGATTAGTTTTGTAAAATGTATAAAAAATGAGAAAATTCAGTGAAAAATATTTCTGAAAATTTTCTGATTTTTTCACTGAATTTTCTAGTTTTTATCAAAACATCCTTCTCACAAGTCTTTTCTTGGCACATAAGTGCAATCTTTGTGCAAAACTGGAAGATATAGACAATGTGGGGAAAGAGTGATTCTTGTTTGAAAAATAACATGTGACTCAATTGAGGAATGCAGAAAATTTCCATTCATGCACCCTGACCACTATTAAGCATGGTCACTAGCACACAACCACATTCACTTACCGGCTTAACGGTACATTCGTTTGAACAGGTTTTGTATCTTCGAGAACCATGTACTTATAGGATATCCTATGATTTTGAGAAATATCATTTTTATCTACGAGGTGATATTGATATCTGCACGAGAGAGCGAAGCGAACGAGTGCATATATCAATATCACCGAGTAGATTAAAATGATATTCTGAAAAAAATCATAGGATGTTCTTATTATCCTACACTTACAAGGAGTGTACTGAATGTATAATATCATTGTAAAATTAATGCCATGCCAAATAGAGTCAATTTGGCGGGAAATCAACAAGCGGAGTATATCGTCACAATATCCTCCGCATATTGGGTTTTCCGGAGTATATCGTCACGATATCCTCCGCCCGGAGTATATCGTTACGATATCCTCCGGATATTCATTTTGCCAATAAATATCAATTTTATTTTTTCATGTTATTATACATTTAGTACACTAAGTGTAGGATAATATGATACAACCGCTGTAGCACCACCCGTACACATTGCCCTCTGCCTATTATTAACAAAATATTAAAAGTGTTACTTTACTCATATCTGGACAAGAAATGTAAGAAAAAATATACAGTATGTTGATCTGGCAGAGAGAATTTTGTCTTTCGCAAAATAAGTGTGTTTATTTGATTGATTGAAGTTACACCGTTAGTCTCTCAAAAATGTAACAGTAAGATAAATAATTTGCCTTGATGGCCCTTGGCTATTATTTCACAAAAGATTCAGGGCTCATTGTTTATCCTTTATTGAATGGACTATACAAACCTTTCTCATAGTGCACTCATGTTTGCAAGATTCATATCCCCGGGGATTCCGTATCGTACAGTCCGCGTAGCATGGGCCATAAACCATATCAGTCTGGCTATTGATGTAACATTTAGGCAGGCAGGTGCTATAATATCTCTCGCCATTTCTCGATATGCAATTGTGGTAGCATACTTCAAATACGCCCTTTGTCTGCAAACATGTTAAAATGAGCTGTCATTGTTTTGGACTGATATAGATATCAAAAACACATTTAAAACTCATTAATTCGCAATCATTAGTACATCAACAAACATGACAAATGTTTATATGAATCTACATTTAGATGAGAGATATGCAATTTGACCATAACTCAGTCACGGTATCGAGTTCCCGCATAACATTCGAACATGAATATTCTCCCTTTATACAAACTTGAAATTGTGAACAACTTCAATATTTCACACGGTATTAATTTGTCGATGCAATATCTGATCTGTTCTAAGTGTTTCGTTCAGTGCTAAACCGGAAGTGGGAAATGAAGTTACGATTTCGCAAAAACTTGTTTACATATTCGAATGGTAATATAGACCTCCAATTCTTTGATTGATATAATACCTGCTCTTTGGTCTAAATTTTTTAAACACACTGGGGCCTTTGTTTAGCTTACCGGTTCAACTTTACATTGGTTCAAACAGCTGGTGTAACTCCGAGGTCCATTTCTGATAATGCATCCACTATAACACCACCCATAGATATTGCCCTCAGATTTCTTAGTTGAACAACTGTCGATGCACGTCTTATAGGCCCTTGAACCTGTATATACAAATTCAATTGATTGATTAAGGGTTCAGACAGATGGCACTGCACACTATCGAGTGCCTATTTGGTTGTATGCTGTTACTGTCGCTGATGGAAAAAGTCTTAATGCTTACCCCCAAAGGATCAGACTAAACTGAATACTGTTGATCAATTTACAACCTCACTTCTACATCCGAAGAATGTTTACTGTATTTTGAAGGAATATATACTTACCACGTTGGTTTATACAGTAATAATGACAAGCAGGGAAACAAGTATTCTCGGAATTTACTTGACACTGTTGCGTGCATTGTGGTGTTCGAACACCTGCTCTCTGACACTTACTCGTACATCCTATCTCACACGTGTCAGGTACGTCTAAAAGATAAATATACTATGGACGTAAATATATGCCAGTCGATAGTGTGTATGTTAATTTGTTGATGTATCACATGTACATCTTTAATGGTAAGTCCTTGAAACTGTTTTTATTGCTTTAGAGAGTTTTAACTTTGACTGTAGAATTCGAACTTTAACAACGTTTCTCAAATTGTAGTTTGCCATATTTTACTCGCTGTTTAAATTCATTTGTAAACAACGGACGGGTTGTTTCACTTTAGCTTAAAAATATTTTAATGTATCTCTATATTACATTTAGTTAATCGTTAGGTTTACTTACTTGGGAAAATCCGATGTTCCGTGTATCCTCGCTTGGCGTCGATATATCCTTAACATACAATGTATTATAATATTATATATGGTAGTATTTTCTGTAGGTTGAAACACATGTCAGTTGGCTTTATCATTGTCCCCAAAATTTATCAGTCATATTTGTTTGACTTTTTACCTGTTTAGTGCGTCTATCTAATATGACCATTATACATATTCAGCTTAAATGATATTTCTTTCAGAACACATGCTAAAACGTGAGACAATTAAGGATTACCAAACAGAGTAGAATAAATTTGTTATTAGCTAGAATTCGTTCTATTTTCGTTCCACTAAAATGCTTTTTTATTTAAAAACACACAAACACACTAACCTGGTAACACCGCAAAAGAAAACATCAGAATCAAATACACATACTTAGACATTGTGATTCAAAATATATGAAATACTTAGCAGTGTGCGCTGAGTTTGTGCTGAATATAAAGTGAAACTCGCTTTTATAATGCTTTTAAACTTCCGCGTTCTTATATGTTTAGAATGAATACTAGTTATCTTTCAAAGTAGTCAATTCAAAGCGTGCTACTTCCAAAACAGTGCCCTGGTAAGGTAATCTCTTAGAAATGCGGATGTATATTTGTTCATGTTTAGAACATTTTTTATTTTCAAAAGAAAAACACAAATTTATTTTAACTAATGAAAATGAAAGTTTGTGACATAGTTTTGTAATATGATACGTTCGTAATTTCAAAGTATTATTGCTCACACCAGAAGTTTACAGCAATTTGACAAAAAGATATATGCTGCTATGTCTTTCGTAGAAATTGAAGATGATTTAACAGATGGCTTCCTGTTAACATACCTATATGGATATGATGTATTGGAGCGTAATACTTTCTCAAGAAGGCGGATATAAGAAATGACATGAACGTATCATATGGATGCGACTCGATTGTATGCCATAGAATAATAAATATGTTAATGGATAGCGTCAAGGTTGATCGGTTATATATTTGGATGCAGTTTATAATTGGATGCAGTTACGTGAACGAGGGAATGAGGGAGTTCTGAGTTTTGATTGGCTGGAATTGGATACATCTTGCCTGGCTATGTGTAAATATGAATATCAGCAGGCACCTTCTAAATTTAAATTAATAGGCCATAACAAATAATCGAACCATCAGCCGACAGTCGTCTGGTGAATTCATGAATGTTAACTAAGACACGAATCAAAAGGTTAAAAATTAATTGAGTATAATCGACTGTAAGGATTTTCGAGGATGCTAGTCAGTTTATAGTGCATAGTGGAACCATGAATATATAAACACTTGATCTTCTATATTGTATACACAAGATGAAAGCTGATAAAAATAATGACAAAACTAAACATTTATGCAACGACCCATTTAAAGCTAAGAAACAACGTCAAACCTAGTACACTAACAACAATATAAAATTATTGTTGTGTTTTCGTTTTATTTTCATCAAACATCTTACACAGGCAAATCAAACTAAGTATTGCTGAGCAAGAGTCGGTACAAACAATTTATTTTAGATTCATGTGAATCAAGCCTTTAAAGGAAAATTTAATAAATACTGCATATTTGCCGCCATCTATTGAGCTAATAAAACATGATTTCCAACATGTGTAACAGTCTATCACGATATGCGAGTTTGTTGTGATTTAACCATTCCATTAGATTGCATTGCTTCTTTTAGCATATTACTTGACTTTAAAGCATCCTGGATGTCGCGAAAGTATTTTTTAAATGATTCGTTCATTTTCAAGGCAAGAGCTCTTGCCTTTCTCGGATTATCACAAAGTACTGCGTGAGTTTGCAGAAGGAAGCCATCCGCAGTCTCGTGGCGGTAAACCCAGGCGAACACCTGTGGATTTTCCTTGTGGTCGCCACTGCAGTATGAAATCCTAGCAAGATCGAACAAGTCCGTACTTGTGACCTTGTTTGATTCGTCCACGTGATACAGAAGTAAGCAGAATGGCTTTACATCTAGAAATACATAAGTATGTTGTTCGACGTCATGTTTTCGCTGGGAAACCATTTTACATACGGGTTCTTCGGTGCAGCCATCGCCATTGGCTATATTCGTTGTCACGTGACCAAGATAAAGTCCCCTGTGACCGTGACCATATTGAACAGCGGCTGTTGGTTTTTCATCCTCCATATTCATAACAAGACCACTATGTAACTATATATAAGTTACATATACGAATTCATTGGTCAGCACAGTTGAATCAGTTGTTATTGCACTTTGACGTAAAGTAATAGGTACAATTAGCAAGTCTCCCAGAATGTGATAATAATGTCAGTCTGAAAATAAAACAACGAAAGTAAATAACACACGCATAATGAGAAATGGAATTTTGTTATCCATCGATTGATAAATTCATAAAAGCTTTCATTTAGATGCGTGGTCTTGAGGGGGGGGGGAGTGGGGATATAATTTATGTTATCTCAATATGAGAAACACCGAGAAGTAATTATTGATTATTGTAGGAATAAAGAATCCTGTATCTACATACATATTTGAATTATAAAACCATGTATATAAAATTCACACATAGCTAGGCAAGGTGTGTCTGATTCCAGCCAATCAGAACAGAGTATTCACATAATGAACAGTGTGTAAAATATCAATAACACATGCAAGGTCACTAGTTAAAGAGTTGTCATGGTGATGAATGGGCTTTTCTTGCAAAAAATATCATTGAAATGTGTTCTTCTAGTGATTTCGTTCCTTTTGGATGATTTTGTAGAAAAAATGCAATGTGTTAAAAGAATTTAAACCCAAGACTCGATGCAATGTAGCTGCTTCATTCCACTCAGGCGTTGTTTCCTAAAATTTGCATTCCCGCTGCGCGGTCATGTAAAGGTTTCGAAACAACACAATTGTTGTATGATTCAGCAAACAATGCACTGATTCCAGGGCTTAAATTCTTAAGTGAATGTACAAACTCATACACATAATGCACGAAGGCGGAACCTGAGTGCATTATCAGAATGGGTTAGTACATGCACGAATATTTTACGAATAAATTCAAATTATAGAATGATACAGGATTCTTTATAGCATTTAAATGACCCCGATCAATGATGAAGTAGAACCGCAAAAAAATATTTTAAATTGCATATGAAACTTTGGATTTATTAATTTGAATAAAGAAATGAATGGACAATTTTAGGTTTTAAAAAATTCTAAATAGGGATTGGTTAAAATGATATTCCTTTGAAAACTATTTATAAGGTTTTTATCAAAATATTATATAAGTGTAAAATCATTCATGTGATTCTGGCGTTTTAGGAAAAAATCAGAAAACATAGCATAGAATATTAACACATTGGTTATATGCCGTAGATTCTTTTTAAGAAAAGCACTACTCAGTCAGAGCAAATATCAACAATTAAATGCATGGCGAAATAATTTCCCTGTATATATCAATAAATTAACCCACCGAAATGCTTTAAGCTGATTGCCTGAGACACACTTGACATGTTAACTGTCACACATCATATTGTTAATAGATATATGATATCTAAAATGAATTTTTTAAGTAGCAGTATACTAATAGAAATATTCTATTTAAGACATGGGTCGGGTGCAACTGATTTTACAATCATGTAATTGACAGTAAAATGATACTGTGAGTCATATCAATTTCGACGCTGCGAACTGCTTTAGTTAAGCAAAAAAAGCTTATTCCTCATACGATATTCAATTTGGAATATCAGCAGGGGAATGGGTCAATTTGACTTTACGATATAGCTCTACAGTATAGCACCTTACTTGGAGAATATAACAACAATATTGATTTTTATGAATAATTGTAGGTTCTCATGAATATCTTCAGAAAAAATTCCCTCGACCAATCGATACAAGTGTTCCAATTAAATATTATAAAGCCTGGGTTAAAAAACGGGACTAAATTTAGCTAGCGTGAACATCGGAAGAAGGAAAGCATCGCGCGTACACTCCCCTCCATAAGTTTGGCAACCTTAGGTCCCCCATTGAACTACGTGTTAAAGCCTCTCTACGTTTGATTTTTTATTTACTTAAAGTGTCTTTCTAAGACTTAGAAGGAGAAATGTGAGATTTCGAGCCATATGTCTCAAGAAAATGCTCTTACCTTTCTAGTAGGATGAGTTCAGGTGCCAAAAACAGCTGATCAAAGGATATATATCATTTTCTAATTGAACATTTTTGTTGAGCCCTGCATTTTATACACTGTTTTGACAGGAAGTCATACCCAAAATGAAAACTGAATAAAACAACATTTATCCTAAATGTAGATCAAAATACTTACTCAGACATGCAAAATGTTATTTTTAGTAGTAATGCTGATCATTTTAAAGAAATTTAAGCATGTAAATAAGACTTTTTTCGTTCATGATTATATAGATAAAGAATTTCTTTCTTTGGGAAGCTTTGGCAGTTTGGTGTAGTGGTTAGAGCTTTGGGCACAAACAGAGTTTCATTCCAAAAGATCTGGGTTCAAATCCCATGTTTTTATTCTTTATTTTTGTTTTTTCATTTTGATCCACAATATTTCTAAAATGAATTTTTATATATGGCACTTAAACCATATTTAGTATTTCCAAGGGTTTTAATTTTTAGATGAAATGATAGAAAGTTACTTTAACCTGCGATGAAAATACTATACTATTGATGGAAACGTAATTTGACTTTATTTCCAATACCTTCAATTTTTTCAATTTTTTCTCCAATTACAATAGGTCGAAAATTGATGATACATTTGACGAATTTTTGAAAATCGACATTCCCATGTTAACCAATGGGAAATGGTAGGTTTGTCGCAAGTAATATGACAGAATATCTATCCACCCGAGTCCTTGCAAAAAATATAAGCTACATGTAGGTAGGTAATTGAATTTGCTAACTATGTAACAAAAACGCGATGCGTTTCTTCAGGTTCAACAAAGTTATACACAACGGGAAACACTATTTTGTAAGCACTACTAAGAAAGAATACGTTATGTGTTATCCATAAGTAATAAGCAAGACTAACTACTAATTCTCAGGAATAAAAAGTTCACACTATTGAGATAGATAGAGCTTATCCTCGGACCAGTTACGTCTTATCCGTGTGTTATATGACTAGTACTGTGTGTGTTAATTAACTAAGTAAAGTATTCCAATTAAAAAGTGTTGTATGTTTGCATGCAGCAAGCGTTTAATAATTCTTTGCATATATAAAATTGTCCATAAAAGAGTCTGATATATAATATTGTCCATAAAAGATTGGTCTGATAATTACAAGTAACTCATAGTTTATTTTAAAACTAAACTTTACGAATTCATGATAAGTGTACAGGCCCGTAGCCAGAATTTTCCAAGGGGGGGGGGTTCGTTTTTCTAAAAAATTCTAGGGGGGTTCACTTTGGCAAATATGACCAAAAATCACTCAAAAATTAGTCAGAATGGTGAAAAACTGAATGATTTTGAAAGAAATTTTGGCCAGGGGGGGGGGGGGGTTCGTCCGAACCCCCCGAACCCCCCCCCCCCCCCCTGGCTACGGGCCTGAGTGTATGATGTTCAATCATACAAATGCGCAGTCAGTGATTGTTCTCCACACTCACCCCTCCCCCTTCCTGACATGAACTATTTTGTAAAACCATTGACAGTGTGGAAAGGATTCTTACACTCGAGTGTCAAGGGGGGGGGGGCAGTTATAAAAATATACAAGGCGATGGTTCAAATTGGACAATTTTCAAAACTGCTCAACATGGTGAAAACTTCACGTTTTTAAAGAATGCTTGCCCGGCGAGTGGTTTGCTCTGGATTGCGAGAGAACAAAAACTTTGAATTAGGATTTTTCCTAATACTATCATTAATCTAAACAACTTTTTAAACCGTCTCTGATTACATATCATGCCAATTAATACCATGATTGTGTTGACAGGATTAAATATGATATCTATGGAATTATAATTTAATGAACTCAATAGTCTAAACCCGGGAGTCTAAATGATAATACGTTCATAATTTAGTCTTGGCTGACTAGTCTTGCATCATCAGAGTTGGATTGCAAATACCTCCCTAAATCAAATATTTAAAATTTACAAATTTACTAGTGTACGGGGTGGGGAAACAAGTCTCCATCCAACCACTAAAGTTTAAAAGGAAGACTATAGTGTCCCGTGAATTCATTATAATTATCTTAGACAATAGTGAAGCGGTACAATCATGGGAGTGATAATTAATCGGAATGCAAGTTTGATTTAAAATAACTCTTTGGATCAAATATTTAAATTCTACTAGAATGCGGGGAGTGGAAACAAGTCTCCATTCAAGCACTAAATATCAAAAGAAAGATTTCAGTACCACTTAACTTCACTCCCGGACTTCACTATTCACCACCACCCTTCCCCCTTCCCCAATTATCCCTTATGACCCCAAAATGTTCGTTTCTGTGCCCCTCGTCCATGGCCAGTAAGTAATCTATGTGTATACTAGCTCCCTCCCAAAGGTGGGAAAAACCAGATGCAGGCATAGACATTGACAGGGTGAGGGGATTTAAATATAAAAATAGTCTTGTTTTTGGCTCCGACTTAAATATTTTGGCACTGTTTAACGAAGCCGGTTTAAGGAATGAGAGGCAGAAATAATTCCTAGATGGCCTGTCTTTACTGTAATCAAGATGGTACCTAACCGCAGTTTTAAAAGGGATAAGTAATTTATCTTTTGTGATAATATAATACTACCTGTTGATTGGTTTGCCAAATATAAGACTCCGTCATAAGACCCTTGTCTCTGATTGTGAAACATGTGTATGCATCAAATCCGAGGAATATTACATTATGTGAAACAATTCCAAAAAGTACTGTCTTGAACTCAATCAAATAGCGATATATTTCAACATGTGGAAATTATTTATTAACGTAATGTCGGGCACTATACGTTAACGGGTTTTCAGTTTTGCTCTTTTTTGTCACGCTTAAATTGTGTGCTTTATTTTTTGGGGATTTGAATTTGAAAAGGTGAATTCACGATCCAATAAAGCTTATAGTATCATTTATTAACAGATGCATCGAGGTAGCGCCACCGTTCAAAAGACATAAACATAACTCCGTCTCTGTTTAAACCTACATGTAGTAAAGTTTACAACATCATGGATATAATTACAGTCACATGTACTTTGTTATTAAATTCAAAAACTTTAACGGCCGGCGTGTAAGCTTATTGCCGGATTTTAAACTTGATATTGTTTATTAGACTGTTATCTAGATTCTTCTTCTCTATTCATTTTTATCTGGGAACGCAGGCCCGTAGCCAGGGGGGGGGGTCGGGTGGT